CCTGCGTAGTTGACTCCCCACTCCGTATTCTTAATCCGTCACCACAAGGATTAGTTCACTTGCGTGGCTCATTATATACTAATTAGGTGTGGAAATGTAGTTTAATAGTTCATATCCAATTGTGGTCAGTTAGGCTTCGTCATGCTCGTACATTTGATACAGAAACTGCTTCGAATCAATCTTGGGTGGTTCACGCACCACACAAAGGAAAGAGCATTGAATTATTTAATACCTAGGTTTGTTCATTACCATCAGTTCGTCGTTCATTAAATTTGACCAGCCTGTTAGCCTAGTTATAAGTGGCCCTAACTGCTAAACCGTTTTGATTCCCACCCTTAAATCAAATAAAAAAGTTGAGATGGTACTCTGTAACCAAAGAAGTGAAAAAGTTAAAACTACGCCTTGGTGTGTACATGCATAAATACACGCACACATGTGCAACGAAACTACGCCTTGTCAGCCAAAACGCTATCACAATATTTATGTGATGGCGATGGTGATGTGATGGATAAGTAAAATGCCGAATTGTGTTGTGAAAGTGTGTAAAAGTCAATAATAGGATGGAATCGCATTTCACACATAAGTAAGCGCAGAAACCAATAATTGCAATAAAATAAAATTATGATGGCCCACGCACACATGTTCTTAAAACCGGACTCACTTCGTTCTTCAAAGTTCCATCTTGGCTTTTTTATTTGATCTGAGTTCCCACCCAGGACAAATAAAATTGTGTCATAAGGACGATCATTTGTTCTGTGCCTGGGTGTAATTTATCTATAATATGTATGTATTTAGAAATATATAAGTATGTTTATTAGCAGCCAGCTGCTATGTTATAGCACAGCCTCTATCTAGTTTGGGATCAGACGGCCGTGTGTTCTGACGCCCAGCCATGCAGGCAGATCAGATGATGTTCTAATGATGCTATTTTAGTATTTTATATCTATCTCGTTCTAACAAATCTTAAGGTCAATTCAAATAAAATAAAAGAAGGAATGAATGCCTAGTTTTGCCTACTTTTTTATCTAAAATTGCGGCGCTAATTTTACACTTTTAAATTATATAATGCACGGCGTGCTTTAGTCCGTGACGGACTCGGAACAGAATCGTTATGACGTCGTGTTGATTTTAAACTGGAGGTTATTGCTTGTTATTATTAACATATGATTTCATCATTGTATGCTGAATAGGTAATTCCCGTATTCTCACACATTTTTTGAAAAACGCTTTCGAGATTGTTCGTAATAAAATATATTAAAGTTGTAAAATGTAAGTTAATTTGAAATCTTATTTATACCAATACCAACATCACGATTATACATTTGATTTTTGACTTGACAACTATAGGTCATGATTATAGATGTAAAACAACCGATTTAAAACGTTTTAAACAAAGTGTTTTCGTTTTAAACGGTTGAAAACTCGCCTTCAAAAATAAAAGAACTGTGTTTTACACTTCACATCATCACATCATCATCAACAGCCTTTAATAGTCCACTGCTGGACATAGGCCTCTCCTTAGAAAGAAGGTTTTGGCCTACTATACCACGCTGGCCAGGCGGGTTGGTATAGGGTTTGTGTGAAGTTTTCCTTCTTTTTGCAGTGCTGGTGTCCTGCGTTGTTTTGCGCCCTTAGTCGGCTCTTACGACACCCACGGGATGAATTGGGGTAGTGACATTCCGTATTCTTAATCCGTCACTACACGGACACTTTTTACACTTCATTGTGGGCAATTTTTGGTCACCTGACGTCATGTTTCGTTTTAATTAGTTTATCGAAAATCAATAGAAAGTACCTACCTATATTACCTACTACACGACAACTTAAGTATGTAGGTATACCTACTTTACCTATACTTATTTATTATATTATATTATATTACACACACTAGATTAGAAGACATCATTAACACAGTGCCGACCGTCGCGCCGGTGTTGACAGTGTCAACGAGAGTGCGGGAGTTTGATTTTAAGCCGAATGAAATTGATTATTTATATCGTTTGAAAACAAAAAAAAATGGTTATTTATTATGGTTAACACAGAGTTTTTAACTTAGGTAGGTAATACCTACGCTTGGTCGGACGGACCAACTAGGACTAAACCCGCTAAGTCTATCAATATCAGTATATCACACATATAAAAATCTTTACACAATTTATAGGTACTCCGTCATATCCCCACCTCGGTAAAATTAAAAAAAAATAGTTATAATTAAGAAACACAGTCATCAACACCAACCGTTTTAAATCGAAAAAAATGGTTTTAAACGTTTTATTTCGTTTTAAACGGATTGGTTTAATTGGTTTTAAATCGGCCTTCCATCTATAGTGATGATGTACTCATTGTGGCTGTTTACATTAATCCATGATCCTTAACTTCTAAACTAGGCCGAGCTTGTATCATAGACGTCAGTATCTTCCCAAGAATAACTAGATAAGTAGAAAATAAACACACATGTGTAGTTGATCTTAGAACTAAAGCTAGGTACACAGTAGCAAGATGTGGGCGGGCTAACATAATATGAGTAGGCAGTATATACGAGTAAAGTTGGCAGTTTTATAAGGTTTTTTTTTAGTTTTTTTTTTACTTAGCGGGTTTAGTTCTAGTTGGTCGGTCCGACCAAGCGTAGGTAAGTTAAAAACTCTGTGTTAGTAAATAACCATTTTTTTTTGTTTTCAAAGCAGTTCCCGGATTCTTCCTATTACAGGCGCTGAGTGGCACACCGTGTGGTTTTAGTCGGTCTGAGTCCGATACACAAAACGTTTTAAACCTTTAATTAAAATTTGAATAAAGTGACGTTTCGTTTATCCTAAAAAACTTTACTATCTGTTTACTTCATTACCGTAAAGTTGAGCGATAAAAATGAGATAAAAATAACAAGTTCACTATATTTATGTTTTTAAATTAAGTAATAAGGTAATAAACATATTAATCATAATATGCTCCACATAACAAAATATGGCTCCAGCAAAATATTCTAACTTTAAACGCTGATAAGACCAAATATATGACCTTTTCGATTAGAGGCTCAGTTCAAACTGATCACGCATTGACGGTTCATAATTGTTTAAATAATTCTACTTCTTCTTCTAATTGCACACAGGTGAAATCGCAGTGACCAACCAAATAGCTTCAACCACATGATTATGATTTAAAAGTAGCAATAATGTCCATGTCTAATCACAAATGTGTTCGTTTGCTCTAGTTTGGTCTAGTAAGTAGTGATTATAACTGCGTAGCCACAGGTCGTGGGTTCGGTTCGGTAGTTTTATCAAACTGTAATTTTATTTTATTAATTTCTGTGTTAGGTTAGGTTAGGTTAGGTGACCAAGGTAACTAACCTTGGTCACCAAATCTATTATAAATTGTACAATGTAACAACGTAGTTTAATATCGATTCCAATAATTAATCACTTAAGTCATTGTTGAATAATGGGTTCAGGTAAATTACCCATCAGAGGTCTGATATATACAATTAAATGAATTCTAAGAAAACGTTTCAATTCTGTAATAAAATTGTAGTTATGTAGTTTTTATAATGACTGTGAGTCATCACCGTATAAGTACAAATTATTACAAAGTTGAAATAAACAAAGACCGTCCGTTTTGTTTTTATAAAAGCTATTAGACATGTAAATTATTGCTACTTTTCAATCATTTGTTTAATGCAATGATTGGTTTTAGTCACAGCGATTACACATTGATATGTCATTGTGATTTCGTCATAGTCAAAGATAGAACTTGACTTGGGAAGTAAGCCGGTGAAAAACAGCGGCGTTACGAACAGTGTGATCGGGCGAGGCGAACGGAAGTTGAGAGGGAGTTAAGTTGGTGAAGATGGTTGGTGAAGAGAGAGAGAGTTTCATTTCGTATATTACTGTAGGGGCAAGAGAGAGAGGTGCGCGCACACATTTTCTTTCTCTTTCTCTCATAGCCAAGAAGTTTTACTTCAGTCGTGTGGTCTAAAGCACACTCGTTTTTTTAGGCCTTTCGCGAGTCTTACCCTAGCGTGTTTTTAATAATAAGTGTGATTTATAACATATGATTGTGATTTCTTGTGATTATTTCTTATTTCGTGTTTGTAACTTTGAAAATAACGAACTTCTATTTTACCTCCTTAGAGGTAAAATACAAGAAGTATCCTCCACAGGAATTCCTTTTTTACATTTAACAGAGTTGGTAAATAAAACACATTATTTGCTAGTGCAGTCACTTGTCAACTCTGTTCCTGTAACGACATCTTGTGAAGATTATAACTCAATAAAAACGCGGGCCACTGTTTATTTATCATCTAAATATAATTTAACTGTGATTTCTTAAGTATTATGTATCAACGAACCTACTTAAAGTAACCTCTGACCACAGATAAAACAATATTGTTTTACGAGATGATAGAGTAGGTAATAAAAAAATCCCACTCTACATGAAACATTCGTTACAAAATTGATTTTAGCTCTTGTTTGCGGCTTTCGTTACATCAATATAGGCACTATATTTTTGAACGAACTGTTGCAAGGATTTACAAAAGACTTTACATGACGGAATACCGAGTGGTTTTAAGTTCATTGTCTGCACGCATGGCGTAGTGGTTTCGCCGCTTCCCACTGCGCTGAGTTTTCGATGCCCACATGTCCCAACAATTTGTGGATTACACAACGCTTCGGAGTCTGAGTGTTCTTTGTGTCCGTTTCATATATGTGTGTATACACCTATTTCTAGTGCTTGAGTTGTTTAAAAAAAATACTGATGCCCCAGTAAGATATTTGAGCTCAGAATCGAAAACAATTTTTTTTCATATATCATATTTACATATTTTTCTTGTTAATTCGGAATACGATTCTCAGCTCGAGATATTCACCCGTGATAACATTTCATGTTGAGCTGTAAGAACGTTACTTAAGGCGTAATCAAACTTTAGAAACAGAATAAGAGCTCGAGAGAAGGCGAGTATACCTATATTCTTTTCCTTCCTATTTATTATAAAGTTCTGTCTTTTTCAGATGTTCAAAACATTGCCGCTTCTACTAGTACTGGCAGTGGCCCACTGCCAGGTGGGAAACAATGGTGATCTGGAATCTGTGATTCAAGGTATCTTCGGTACTCCCAACGACAACGTGACAGTGACGTCCCTTGTAGACAAAAAGGGACCTTCGACGATTGTACCTCCCATCAACACCAATAAGGGTGGTAAGACCTTTTATTTTTTATTAATTGTTAGTAAATGAAGATTTTTTAGAGAATTTTCTGGAGATTGTGACTAATATAACACAAAGATTGTAGTGCTGTTTAAGATAGACGTTAGATCTCCTGGTCCTCGAATTGTGACCGTTTTGAATTTATTGACTAGTTTGTCTAGTGAATAGTGACCTTAAAAGCTAAACCGGAAATCGTGGGTTCGATTCCCACCCAGGACAAATAGTTGTGTGATGAGCACGATCATTTGTTCTATGTCTGGGTGTAATTTATCTAAAATATGTATGTATGGGAGCAGTCTGGATAGGCTCTGCCCAGTTTGGGATCAGAAATAAGATCAGTTTTGCCTGGGATGTGTAAAGTTACTATTATTGTAAGTAACCTTTTCCCAAGATTCCCCGAGATAAGTAATTCCAGCCATGAATCAGAAATGACTAAAATCACACACTCTGGTAAAAACCACAACAGTCTACCCCACGACAATCACGAGATGGCAATTTCTAAGTTGGCCGTCTTGGTTAAGTCTTACGAACCCGACTCATGATGTAATTGTTCACCAGATGATAGCGATCTATCCTGTACCATGGATGATGGCAGTACCGGTGAGTGTGTTAACTACTACCTCTGCGACAAAAACAATACAATTATTGACGACGGCGCTGGTGTTATTGATATTCGGTAAGCATAAATCTATTCTAATATTAGAACTCTGAAGAGTTGGTTTCTTTAGTAGCAGGCGCTCATCTTAGTAACTACTGGTTGGAATTGAAAAATTATTTTAGCATTGGATAGCTCATTTATCGAGGCTATAGGCTATATAACATCACGCTGCAACCAACAGGAGCCGAATGTAAATGAATAATGATGCAAAAACGGGGAAAATTATTTCTTTTGAGAGACGAAGACAGACATGACGGGTCAGTTAGTTAAATATAAAATTCTGTATTTGTTTATATGTTTGAACATATACGATCCCTACTTTTCCCTCAGTTTCCCCTTATTTTAGGAAGGGGAGAGATACTTAGAGGGTTTTAACGCACTTGAGTCTCTTGAGATACTTGAGAGAGTCACATACCGTCGGGCGACACAGCCCTTCGTCCAATCTCTCCCTGTTGGCAGACTGTCGGATAGAGTCAGACACGCACGATCTCACCTGGTCGGTCCAGCGCTCTGCCGCGACCCGCCAGGCTATTTTAAAAGTTTTCGGAGAAAGGTTGTAAGGAAATATAACTCCAGCTTTAATATTATTGTATCCACGCGAAAATAAGGCTATCCAATATCCCTTTATGGATCTTTAAATATTTGAATACAAAACTCACTGACGTACGACGATACTGAAATCCTTGACTTGATTTTAAATAATGTTGTTTTCTGTATAATTTTGTACATTTTTAAATACAATTTATGACTGATTACCTACATTCAATTAGTTGCCGTACATCGCCTAATTCCGTTCTATTTTGTATTTTTATGTAATTTTTTTATTTCAAATCAACTTGTGATTATATGATTATATTTTAAAAGATTGTTCGAATACTGTAACTGGTAATTGATAGATTCTCCAATCGTAACTGGTAATTGATAGATTTAAGTCTTCCCACGTGACAGGCCATGCCTAGTGTAGGAAGCCTATATAAAACCTGACATCAGCAGGATCTTCTCGTAAGCCGTGTTCTATGTGATATTATTTTGCTTGAACGTTTTTTTATTATCAAAAGAACTTATAAATTATTATGGCAATAAATTTTATTATTATTTTAATAAATGCAATAATTTTTGTGTTTGTTTGTTGTCAGTGGCGGCGGGGGTCCCTGCGAGTCATACATGGACTCATGTTGTTTGCCTCGCAACGTCAGACAACCAGACAACCCTATCAAACCCCCACCACAGCCAACGGTACGTACAAACAACGCCTCAATAAATTCCAACACTTTTTTAAACTATACTCCTATTTCTTTTCGATTGAAATATTATTTCGATATTTATTTACTGTGTCGTTTTATATTTTCTTTAACTTTATCACTTAGGTACTTGTATATTTACAAAGAAATTACGTTCTAATTGAAAAAAAAACAACTCCGTGCGATGGCGTAGTGGTTTAAGCGGTCACCTCGGTTGCCAGGTCGTAAAAATGGTGGACATTTTGTTCTATTATAGAACCTATAGGTTGGTATTCATGATAGTTATTTTGAAAAACGTCGGCCATGGGCTGTAGGAGGTTATTACCATCACTCGGAAGTTATGGTCATTTACTTTATTTTCAAATTATGTTGTTATATTGCTTATTTTTATATATTTACCTACTTATTAAAAATCCGTTTAGCGGCTACCGCCAGTAAAATCATACGAAACAGGTTATATTCAAATCGAAATTACTGATAGGTATTTTGATGTTATGAACTCAACTAGGTATAAAGCGATTATGGCAACACTTAGTTTACTGTATTAAGTATATACCTAAACGTTATAATGTGGGGCTCGTGGCCAAGTGGTAACCGAATAGGTTAACATACTGCAAAGTTAAGCAATCCTAGCCAGGTCGTAGCAATCGAAGTTCAGCCGTATCGTAGTAAACTTAAAGACGACCTCAACCCAGTTTGGGCAAGCTACGAGGAAGATATACCCGTTATAATATTTTAACCAATTAATTGGTTACAATGTTCAGATACTTAAATATAATTTATGTATTTAAAAACTAAATCGTTAAATTAAAAAAAACCTTGTGACTTCTCTGACCTCGACTCAATGTGGCAATGACCGAACAGTTTTGGCTCTTTATTTTTTAAACATGTTTTCGGTATTCAAAACGCGAAAGCGATTTTCAATCGTTCTTAAAACTGCGAACTGTGAAGGAGCTTAAATAAATATCATTATCATGAAAGAATTACCTAGAATTATGTCTATTGAGGCCTATGTCCAGCAGTGGACTATCCACGGTCCACTGCTGGACATAGGCCTCTCCTTAGAAAGGAGGTTTTGGAGGTTTTACTATACCACGATGGCCAGACGGGTTGGTATAGGGTTTGTTTCAAGTTTTCCTTCTCTTTGCAGTGCTGTTGTCCTGCGTAGTTTGCTCCCTTAGTCTGCTCTTACGACACCCACGGGATGAATATAGGTTTTAACACTTCGTATTCTTAATCCGTCATCACACGGACACCGTCGAAATGCTGGTATAATATCCCTCCTCCCATAAAAAGAAGACAAAGTGCGTATTCTTTCAAAACGAAATTGAAGGAATTCTTACTGCAGCATCAGAAGGAACTCGAAGACGTCAGAGTAACTCTTGCCCCGATATAAAATAGAAAGCGTGCCATGACCATGGATGCCGTGCTGTGCCATATCTCACCTTATATTTTATTATTTACTACAAATTATATATTTTTACTATTTTAGTCATAATGTTTTAATTCAATCAAATGGCTATAAAATTAATATTCATTATATTCACACATCGTCAATGATGTTTTGTATATAATATCATTATACATCGTACTCTAGAGAGGTCATGTTGCTTAAGATTACATATAATTATGTTTTTTTTTTTATGTTGTAATGTCAAATCCCTAACGTGTCAACTGAACTCTATTTAAATCATAGAGATAATATAACAGAGGTAGCGAACTGTATATTTCTTTGTAAGTGGTAGCGTACGGTCGCTATTGTTTTGGTCTTCATCTCTCTCCTCTCTGCACTGATTGGCTGATACTGAAGATGGCATTTAGAATAGCCAACCAGTGAAAAGAGTAGAGAGAGAGACTCAATACCACAAAAATCTTCTTTCTCTCTCTCCCAACCGTGTGCCTTGTTCACTTCCTTTATATTTGTAAGTTCTTTGATTTAAATATACTATCCGGCTATCATAGGTGCAATGTGTGTAATAGATAAATTGTTGAAATTTCAAAGAATGTATTTCTATCGTTGCTAGGAAACAACTATAATAATAATAATATCCTACCATATTCACACAACGCCATCTAGTCCCAAACTAAGTAGAGCTTGTACTATGGCTACTAGACAACTGATAAAAATACATATAAATACTTTTTTTTTGTTAAAACATTCTTATTAAACATATTACACCCAGACCAAATCAAACTTTAAATGTTCATGCACACAAATGTTTGACTTGAGCGGGAATCGAACCCGCGACCATTGGAATAGCAGTCCATTACACAAACCACTACGCCATCCGGTCGTCAAATAAAGATGAATACTATTAACAAGAAATGTTGAATGAATGACATGATAATTAGAAGTTACTTTTTGTTTTTTTTTTTTTATATCACTTCAATCTGTTTGAGTGATTTCGATTTGTAAAATGACGGAAGTGTGTAACAGCAGAAGCGAGCGCTATTTTATTCAATCGAACTTTGTGGCGCTATTATGTTACAAATCATATGCGATTACTAGTTATTTTTTATCACTTCTTGAACCGGTTTAACCACAATGCTAAATGACCACCACTGAGTAATCGACTACAATAACATTCATTTTGTACCTATGAAGCATATTTAAGGTGCTTTTTTTTTACATTCACGTAACCAATTATAAATGATAATAGTTTTTAAATTAACGGACGTCAAACTGACAATTCTATGGTCTGCATAATACTGGACGAATATATGTCGATTCCGTGATTGGTAATTGTGTTTTTTTTATCGAATAGACCTTACGACTAGGAACTCTTTTGAGCGTGTGAATGACATTGAGTACGCAAGTTTTAGTACATAGGGTTACCAGTTAATAATAATTACTTTTTTTATGGAAATGTTGTTCATAACATTTTAAACATTTTACAATTTTATTGTGAAAACAAGTAGTGTGTAAATTTTAAATTTTGTAAATAATTGTATTCATAATCTGTTGTTTCTAGAGAGAAGGCTGTGGATGGCGCAATCCTAAGGGTGCTGACTTAAGGACTACCGGCGAGACTGCTGGAGAGACCAAGTTTGGAGAGTTCCCTTGGATGGTTGCCATACTCAAGTAAGTTAATGCATATGTAATTTTTATAATCTATAAATAATCTAAGCAGGGCCATTTTCGCTGATTTTTCTAAATAAATAGGGTTTTCGGTAATAAATATTAGAGGGCCTCTATCTATCGAGGGGCCCTAGGCACGTGCCCAGAGTGCCGAGTGGGAAAGAGGGGCCTGAATCTAAGCCAGGCAGATCCAACTCCTGAAGATACTTTGCTTTAGCCTATAAAAGTAAAAACATTTCAATTTAACCAGGCCTTTCTTGTGTGTTTTGCGCGAGGTCTTTAGTCATAATCAAAAGCCTTTAGCAGTCCATTGATATACATAGGGCTCTCCTTTGAAAGGAGGTATTGGATTACTGTACCACGCTGGCCAGTCGGGTTGGTATAGCTTTCTTTTTAAGGATAAAGCGTAATATTTATGTTGTAATTTGCTTATGCAGGATCGAACCCGTCAACGAAAGCGAGCCTGATGGTCAGAAGCTGAACGTATACGTCGGTGGTGGGTCCCTGATCGCACCCAGTGTAGTTCTTACGGCTGCCCACTATGTAGCTAGTTCTAGTGCTTTAAGGATCAGAGCTGGAGAGTGGGACACTCAGAGTACGAAGGAGATTTATCCGTTCCAGGACAGAGATGTCGCCTCTGTGGAAGTACACAAGGATTTCAACAAAGGTAAGAAAAAAATATACAAGGTGACTTCAGATATCTTGCCCGGCCTTAATTACCAGTCAAAAAAAAATGCATATAAAAACTCAATTATTAAAGGCGGAATAAGAAGCTAAAACGATGGTGAAATCCGGATTCCGTCATTGCTCATGTCTCATAATCGATTTTATTTTTTGTAGGAAACCTATTCTACGATGTTGCTCTCCTATTTCTGTCCGAGCCTGTGGTTTTGGCTCCTAACGTAGGAGTAGCCTGTTTACCACCACCACGGCAGAGAACTCCTGCTGGCACTGAGTGCTTCGCTACTGGATGGGGAAAAGACAAATTCGGCAAGGAAGGACGTTACCAAGTGATTATGAAAAAGGTAAGTTATTATCTCTTAATTCGTAACTTTCTGAACAATATTGTTAAGAGCCGGGATTTGTGATTCAAATCGATTTATACGCAAAATAGATTGTGTGAGTAAGTGTTGTTATTAGCGCTCCGGGGAGGGTTTGAACGCTCATAACCACATGATCTCCCATGATTCTGGGGGAAGGGACTAAAAGGTGTGTGTTGTCCGTGTGGTGACAGATTAGAAATACCGAGTGTCACCACCAATATTCATCCCGTGGCACTGTGAAATATGGTAGAACAAAGGCATATCAAAATTGCTTTTTATCACTGATTGAAATTGGGCACTTTATGAATGTAATTTAAAAGTTCAGAAGTCGAGGTTTAATATTCTGCAGCGTAACTCCTATTGTATTTGGTATAATTTTTTTTTTCATGTAGTAAAGTTAAACGTTTTAGCAATTGGGAAATATTTAGTTTTTTTTTTTACGTTTTTCAACGTGAAATAGTTTTAAAACTTGAAATGAAAGGTATAAGGTAATATATATTTTTATAAAGCTCATCTATCAGAGGAAATAAATAAATACAATTGATTGTTTTTAATACGAATATATAATTAAAAACCAATTTAAAGAAAAAATGGGGAAAAAATATTCCTTCCTCAACTTCGTCGAAGCTTTTACCATTTAGAGTTGCTTACCGATGCTTTGAATTTAATGGTAATTCATAGGTTAGTTACTCACCTAAAACATATAAAAAAATTAACTGCGGTTTTTTGCGGTTTACGAAGATATGGGAAAAAATCGAATACTAATCTGGGAACAGAAATCGCTATCAAATGCGGTTTCGTAGTTTACTTTTATTATCAATAACTTGTGATACGTTTTATGAATTAATTATTTGATAGTGTTTAGTTTTTATCATTTCGATGTCATTTTTCGTGAGAAAATAGGTATCTGAAATATTCCCACATTCTGAAACAATATTAAAAGGGCAGTGAAAAAATATTTCTCCATTACCGTTTCTACCTACTCCAGTACGGCTGTTTCATTATTCAATATGTCGACTTTTAACTGTACTAAACGTGAGTTAATAGTGTCTTATATAGAAGGCGGAAAAACGACTGCGGCAAGCAAAAAAAGGAAAAACACCGTTTTGCTAAATGAATATGGTTTGGAGCACATTTTAAGCGCATATCTTCAAGGATTGCGTTCTATAGGAGAAGGAACTGAAGCAAAAGCTGTTAAAAAATTAAGGTTGGCTGATGCAGAAAAAAGGTTTTCGTTATAAATCAATTAGATGATGCATAAATAATTAAAGGGCTTACAGATGAAGAAGCCTTAAGTGTCTTCATCGACTTGGAACTAACAAAGGTACAATATCTGTATCAGGAACGTTACAGATGAAAGAAACTGTTCTTTATTTCCACCATACTACAAAATACAAGAAATGAAACAGAGATGCTATTCACCATCATCAACAATCAAAATCACAAATACTTATGCAAAAATATTGAGAGTTCAAGATCTATTAGATCACACTGCAGCTCGAATTTTATGTATAGATACAGTTTACAAGAATGGACAAAAACATTTAATATTATATAGCAAATGGGGTTGTGATGGGTCATCTGGACAAAGCCAGTACAAGCAACCTCTACCAGAGGAGTCTGAACTTATTTCCGATGCAAATTTATTTATTACTTCTTTTGTGCCTATCAGATTAATTGACGAGGAAACAGGCGCCATCATATGGCAAAATCCAGTGCCTTCATCTGTTCGTTTTTGTCGGCCTATATCTATAGAATTTTGCAAAGAAACACCAGAATAAACTAAATCTGTTGTAGATGAAATAAAAAATCAAATACAAACTTTGCTTCCATCAGTAATTAATAAAGAAGGCGTGGGAGTTCAAGTCAAGCATGAACTTTTTTTAATGATGATAGACGGAAAAGTGGCACAAGTTTTAACAGATACGCCTTCTAGTTCCACATGTACAATATGCGGAGCAACTCCTAGACAAATGAATGATTTAACAAAAGTAACAGCCAGGCCTAAAAATGAAATGCTTATCAATACGGATTATCCACATTACATGCCTGGATTCGTTGCATGGAAATGATATTACACATATCATATAATCTATCTTTCCAAACGTGGTCTGCTACAAGCGAAGAAAAAAAAAGACTCAAACAAGAAAACAGGCTGAAGTACAGAAGCGATTTCGTGAAGAGTTGGGTCTAAATATTGACAAACCACGACAGGGGACGGGAAATAGTAATGATGGCAATACTGCTAGAAGATTTTTTTACAATGTTGCCTGTTCTGCTGATATCACAGGAGTTGAAATTGATTTAATTTAACGGTTATACATAATTTTACAGGCTTCGTCATCTGGTATAGTGGTAGATAGTAAGAAACTTGGTAATTATGCTCTGGAAACAGCAAGAATATACGTGAGTAAATATAGTTGGTATTACATGCCATCATCTGTCCACAAAATTTTAATTCACGGAGAGAGTATCATAAACCATTTCGCAGTATTACCAATTGGACAACTTTCAGAAGATGCTCAAGAATCTCGCGATAAGGACTATAAAAAATTTCGCTTACACCATGCTCGGAAATGCTCTCGAATAGCTACAAACGAAGATGTGTTGAATACACTACTTTACACCTCAGATCCATATATAACGAGCATAAGAAAACCATATGCAAAAAATGTTAAGGAGCTCGATGAAGATACTTTACACCTTCTCAAGGTTAATGAACTTATTTCAGATCCTGAAGCTCACAGGGTGTAAGATGTCAATCTTGCTGATCAATAAAGAAATATATATATTGCGATAATTTTAATTCAATATGTTTCTATATTTAAGCGTAGTGTTATAGGTATTTTTACATTTTTAATTTTATATAATCATTTTAATGTTAATCATCTTAATTGAGTTATTGGAATAAAAAAATACACATACGATATGTTTGTAAAAAAATATATTTCAATAAATGAATATTATTTTTAATGATTGTGACTTTCTTCATCAATTAAAAAAAAATACGCATCATTCCAATTCATCAAACATTACTTATATGAACTTTTATGTATTTCTTTATATTAGAACTAAATTTGATAGCTTTATCTTTCGAATTGACGGAGTTACAGATTTTTAATCCGAAACACACCGAAACATTCCACAGTGCGTGGGTGTCGTAAGAGCCGCTAAAGGGAGAAAACTACGCAGGACAACAGCACTGTAAACAGAAGGAAAACTTGGAACAAACCCTTTTTTTTTTTTAATTATTTTAACGTGTGGAAATCCCCTCGGACCGTCACCCCACCGGGGTTTGCGGCGGGGTGGTGTGTCGGACTCGGACCGACTAAAACCACACGGTGTGCCACTCTGCGCCTGTAATAGGAGGGATCCGAGAACAGCTGTTGTTAAGACATCCGGACCCCTCCTAGCGCCGGCCCGCTCCTGGTGCGGCTCCTCCGCTCTTTAGGCGACGTCCGGCACACGCGGACGCCGCCCCCTCGCGGCTGGCCAAACTAATGCGGGTGGAGGGGAAACCCACCCCGTCTACCCGCGGCCACACTCAGGGCGGCATGAGGCGGTGATAGGCGCGCCTCCGCCGCCTGGTTCGCCGGCGGCGGATCGGGTCCGAGTGGAGGTCGTCCTCCCGGGCCTTCTCCGCCGCCTCCTTCTGCGAGATTACTTCCTCGCAGAAGGTTGCGACGGCGGTAAAACAACTGTCGCTACCGGCCATGGAGCGTACTACGGCCGGTAGCGAGAGATCCACTCCGATGACTGCAGTGAGGGCCCGGCGCTAAGTCGCCCATGCGGGGCAGACCGCCAGCGAGTGCTGGGCCGAGTCCTCACTGCAGTCGCAGTGGTGGCAGGCGGGACTCAGTTCCCTCCTAGCGACCGAGTGCAGGTACTTTCCGAAGCAACCGTGCCCGGAAAGCACCTGCGTCAGCCGGAAGGTAAGGGTCCCGTGCTGCCGCCCTGCCCACTCGGCGATGACCGGCTGGAGAGCCTCCACGGCGGCGAAGCCAGCGCGTGGAGTCTCCAGCCGGAACGACCAACGAGCCATCGTGGCTCGGCGAGCGGCTTCGCGCCACTCGCGCACGTCTTCGGGCGGAGGGCGAAATCCGCTCTCCGCCCGGGAGTCAGCCACTCGCCGATAAACTTCGGCGAGCACTTCCGCCTCCAAATCCCACGGGGGAGTTCCGGCCAACGCGCAAGCCACCTCCGTCGAAACGGTGCGGTAACCGTGTATGGCTCTGACCGCCAATACCCTCTGAGGGCGCCAGAGGCGTGCCCTATTCTGGGCGGTCAGAGCCGCCGCCCACACCGGTGCACCGTAAAGTCCCATTGACCGGACAACCCCCGTGTACAGCCGTCTTGTCGCGACGCTGGGTCCACCCAAATTGGGCAAAAGTCGCCCTAGGGCAGACGCAGCGCCGACCAGCTTTGGAGCAAGCTGTCGGAAGTGCTCGTCGAAGAGCCACCTCCCGTCGAGGATCAGGCCCAGATATTTCATCTGGGCCCGAACCGGTACGAGGACCGAGTTGACCACGATTGAGGCGCCAGGGGGTGGACCACGACGGGGCCCATGAAATAACAGTGCCTCAAGAAACTCTAATACTGTATTCAATTCTTTACACTTGTTAACTCGCTGTATGGCGGCGGGTATATCTGAAAGAAAGCCCGCCATACACAAAATTAGGCATTAACAATTAATATTAGTTGATAAAATGGATTAATAAAATAATATCTTAATAAAAACCTTAATATTAACATTATTTTGACATTGACTGCCTCGGTGGTGCCGTTAGTAGCGTATGCGATTGCTGTGCTGAGGTCTTGGGTTCGATTCCCGGGTCGGAACAAATGTTTGTAAGATCGGGTATATTCTATGCATAATATGTATGTATTCACAAAAAAATGTAAATAAGTATTCTATCAGTCTATCTAGCTTTTATAGTACAAGCTCTGCTTAGTTCGAATCTAGATGGCGTTGTTAGATGTACGAAATATTTATTTATTTATCCTAATGTACTAAGTTAAATCTCTGTCTAAATGCATTGCATCGTTTTTCTGCATATAACATGTACTCGCATACATTTCTTATTCCGTGTTTCTAATTTTGAAACTGATGAACTTCTATATAATTGTTTATTCCTTATTTCCCCCCCCTAGGGATTAAATTTCCAAAAAATCCTATTATTAGTGGGTACTTATAAAAAGCATCATTTGCCCAAATATGTTTAAAGATGTCCGGATACAGCACCGTATACAGTGACCTAAAAATTTATTTTTATTTTTCATGTGATATTCTAGATTGAAATTCCAGTAGTAGAACGAAACGCTTGTCAGACAGCTCTTCGCAAGACTCGTCTTGGTAGATTCTTCCAGCTGCACACTTCATTCATGTGCGCCGGCGGTGAGAAGGGCAAGGACACCTGCAGAGGAGACGGAGGATCTCCACTATCCTGTCCTATTCAGGTAAGACATACAAAATCTATATTCCTAACTTAAAGACGAGGCGTCTTTAAGTTAGGAATATAGATTTTTAGACCCAAGGTTTGCATGCATTTTTTGTGACCACCTTTAAGAGAGCCAATGGCTAATTTTTCAACAGTCTTCTGAAGCATACGTTTGTCGACGTCCCTTAGAACCTCGGAGTCCGTCAGTGCTATTTCTTTGGGAATTGTTAAGCGTCTACAGCTGTCGTTTAGAGCGGGGTTGAGCATCTATGGCCGACTCTTACAAATCTGAGGCTTTCTATTGAGGTGGTTTTCAGTATCGCAAGACCTCAGATCCGCCAGAACCTTACTGGCTGAAGCCTTTATTAGCCTATGAGTAAATCAGGGTGAGCTTCGCTAGCTTTATTCTACCGTGTGGCATTCTCAGGCCCCTTTTTCCTACTGGGCACCCTGGGTACGTGCCCAGGGCCTCTCGATTAATAGGAGCCTACTACATCCTACCGAAACTCCAATCGATAATCGATATTTATTACCGAAAGCTAACTACTTCGAAAAATCAACGTATAACATATAATCAATAGGGGCCTGGGAAGACGGCCGTAGACGGGCCTGGGTATTCTTTACATTCCTACCACCTTCAACATTTAGCGTCTGAACAACGATTTAATTAACTATTCCTATTGTCTCAATTTTCCAGTACGAAGAAGAGCGTTACATGCAGAGTGGTATTGTGGCGTGGGGCATTGGGTGCGGTGAGGATGGCACCCCAGGTGTATACGTGGATGTCTCCTTCGTGAGAGATTGGATCGACGACAAGATAGTAGGCAAGGGTGTGGACCCTAGAATTTACTCTGTCTAAATTTATTAAAGAACAGTGGCTTTGTATAAAACTTTATTTAGTTCCACGCTAAAAAATAAAGTGCTGTTCGACTCAAAACGTTTGATTAATAGCATTTTTATTTCCTTTATAAGTGTAAACCTATAAGAATATAAGCACAGAGTGAACAAGAGTAGTGCAATTATCTCTTTCTAGTCGAGCTCTGTGGTGCGGGGGAATATGAGGAGTTAATAAGGTATACTGAATAGTTTTTTTTTTGCCAAACTGTAAAATCTTTTTAATGAAAAATTGTAAATTCACAACCAGAAATGAAGCAGTTTAGGTTTACTCTCCTCAGAATTATTTTTATTTTATTCCAATTATTCTACAAGTGCATGTAATTTAATAATGTAATGTGATAGTCGTATTTATAAAATAAGTTTTTCAGCTATGTTTTGTATACCTTCTGTTTGAATAATTTACACCCAAATTTGTTTGCGACATTCCTAATCTCCCGGCTACTTCTACGATCAAAACCATGCCCTCTTCACGATAGCTAATCGCAGCTTAGCTAAACAGAGACGGAGGAACCTCGTTGCCTTTACAGCTTCTACTCACAGGCAGCTGCACCCCGTGTTCACTCTATGCTTATACCTCTATGTGTAAACATGACTTCTTGCATTTTTAAACGAAGGTCGGGTAACTTTGTCTAGCATTATATCTATAGATTTAATATATGTTTTACCTAGGCACTCTTTATATAAATAAATGACTAGAGCAAAGGGGACATTAAACTATGCATTAAAATATGAACTTGATTACAAAAATTTAAAATCAGTATTCATGCACAAGCCACTGTCTTGTATCTATTTCTGTCATTTTACAACATACCTATGAGATTCATATATACTACTACTATAACAAAAAGTTTTAATTAAAGACAAATACATTTCTATTAAAAAAAAAACGAAGTTTTATTCAATCTCTTTTTTACGATACAAATATATAACCAGACCCCACCCACTCCGAAGAATATATATGCTAACCCCGGTTCAGAATATTTTATAACTGTTTAAATAAAATGTTGTGAAAAGACGAGAGAGCAGGTAGTATCCCTGCCATAATGGCTTACCAAGGATATCTCTTGTCCTAGCTGCCTCGCACTGTCAGTTTTTATTACCTGTTTACCTATTTCTTTCGTCCATTTAGAAACAGAATTCTAAGGAGAGTCGGTATCAGGTAGACGGCCATTAGAGTTGCCTGAATATAGAATGACTCTCGATAGAATATCAATGTACAATAGAATCGATACTACTGGTCTTTATCAAGTCTTCTTCGAGAGATATTATCGGTAGCCCCATCGATATTCTGACTAGTTTTCTAGGTCAACATTCGATACATCGACTATTGATAGTTAGGTAACACTAGCGGTCATAAAAGAAAGAAAACAGGTGAAATTCTTAAAATGGTCTAAGGTATGGCACCACCGCGGAGCAGGATCTCGACAAAACAGAAAAATCAACGAAACTTTTTTTAAAAACCTTTAACACTCATCTTTAAATATTGATGATTTGGAACACATCAAGGTTAATAAAATAAGGATTAAAACCACCATATTGTAATACTTAAGTTTTATTTTATTCAGTAACACAAACTTTCAATAGAATAATTTACATTTGGATAGGAACGCACAGGAACAAAATGAAAGAAAATATATTGGTCTCACGATTTAATACTTTGAACAACAATAAAATAATCCGAAAACAAAACTATGTACAAAGTAAATGAAGAAAAAAGGTTACGCTTACCACTACTGAAATAAGCAAAAATATGGAAGATAATATTCTATTAGGCTGAACAACGCATGCCACCTTTTCTTATTTGAAAAACAAAAATTATAATGGCGGTAAAATCTGTAGGCACGCGTCATCCTTACATGTAACATTATCAGCTCCAAAAAATATTATGTGTTCTTATGTATACAATATTTTAATCAACATCATGGAATGAACTAACACACAGATTGGCACTAATATGGAGGGCTCTCAATTTCTTTTTCAACACATGTCTACTACAAAATGTTAAATCTACGATCTCACAAAAAAGGGCATAGACTTATCATTCAGTAGCACTGTAATCTTTGGCTCAAAAACTAACAATTCCTTAGGCCTGGTCTTTGAAGGTTCAAAACCTTAATATTTACTAAGTATATAGTATTTAGTTTTGTATGTTTTACTCACCAAAGATCTATTATGATTAAAGTGTTCTATTACTAATATAATCTATGCATTTGAAAGCTCGGATTTCTATCGTTGTTATAAAGAGGCGCGAAAACACGAGTTTTCGAATTTCAAAAGTTTGTAAGGCCATGGTAATCTTTTACGAAGGCTAACATGACTTAGGCTGAAATTTATAAAGCGTACTTAGACTTTGCTCAGACTTACCTCACGAGTTAAGTGTGCGTTGAAATTTATAGTCATAATGCTTAGCTCAAGCTGAGCAAATGCTTAGCATAGTCTAAGTCACCAAAATCCATGACTTAGCGATTACTTACGATTAATATGCCAGAGTCAATGTGAAAAGATGGTTCGATTGTCCAGGAAGAAAAGCCGTAATCTAGTTCGAAAGCGTTGTAACAGAAGTCCGTAAGGGTGTGCCAGGGTCAAGATAAAAAGTTAATACAAGAAATTGATATATTTGCGAATGAACTCGAGACGAGACAACCTCAAATATTGTTATGACATTTGACAAGTCAAATATACGTACGTTTTGTTTTACTTGTACATGTGTTATTTTTGCCTTTTATCACTTAAAATCAATGAAAACTAAAGGTGTTAATTGATTGAAATACAATAATATGATAAAATTTATAAGATTACTAATATTTTAGGTTATTACAGCTATTTTAAAAATAATATATTTTTGAAATACCAAGAATTTAAATTAATATGCTATGCAAATCGAAACGTTTAAAAATTTTTCCTGAGCTCTTGCTTAGCATACACTCAGTAAATTCTTAGCCCAAGAGGACTATAAATTCGAATGCTAAGATTACACTGAGCAGGAACTTAGGTAAGTTTAGCGTAAGCAAAGTCTGAGCAAAGTCTAAGTACGCTTTATAAATTTCAGCCTTAGATAGTGCAGGCTATGTAAGTAATCATTTTAGTCGATTTTTATTTTAATATTTCTCTCCTGACTTCAGGAAGTTATATTCATCACAACATAGTATGCATTATCTAAATTTATAAATCTATATAAATATACACAACAGCCATATTATTTATTTTTTTGTATCCGTAGGCATATTCTCGGTTCACAGACACTTACAAATCTACTTTTCGTGTACATAATAAGCAATTATATATTTAAGCATATAACATTATTTTGGAGTTTTTTTTTTTTTGCAACGTTTACTTAATCGAATCGAACAGGTTTGTAATCGAATAGTGACAGTAATAATATTCGACTAAATTTTAAGAATTTAACATGTAAGTCTTTGACTATTGTCTATTCCATTAGAGGCACCGTTGTCTAATAAGTATTAAATACATCGAAAACATTCTCTTATTACATTAGTCGATTAACAATAAATAGTTTTGGAATCGATTTGAGCTCAGTGAACTATTCCGAACTACGGCACCATAGAATCGACTAAAAATAGTCGATTGCCTAAAAATACGATGTTTTATAGCATACTTTAAGAGATGAACCTACTTAAATACAATCTTAAGAAAATTAATACTTAAAATGCAAAAAGGTCTATTGAAATTGTTTAAAAAAAATCCATATAAAGAAATTACTCTTAAAAATAAAGATATACACCATATCACTAGAAACACTGATTAAAGATTGTTCAAAAAAAATTAGGTAACATCTCTTTTGCTTGTAAAACACCGTACATATACCGTCACTTACTCTCCGGCGTTGATAGTGATCGTCTTGCCCTTAGGGTCATCGAACCTGGAATAGAGAAAACATAGTCAGGATATGGGACTACCAATACCGTCACAAATCTAGCTCTCTGAGCACAGAAAAGTGATAAAAAACGTTGTAATAGTCTGAGAGACAGGTTTCACTGCACTTTGAGAACATATTTATTTTTACTTTAACAATTACAATTTAGGTACTGTAAAGTATAAGGCTTCGTGCCTTCGTTCACAATGAATAGATACAATCTCTATGGCCCAAGGTCATAATAAGTACTGTTGTTAAAGTTCCAGAAAGGTAATCCGGCCACCAGGCGTTTTTTCTATGGTAGGGGGACAGAGTATTATGTCTCTTTGACATACATTTCTCAACCAAACAAATTCTAGCTTTATGTTAGTATGGATTTAATTCATACCTGTCCATGGTTCTAATGTCCATCATCATCATGATACCATAGAACGTGATGGCGAGAAGGATGAATGTGACGAAGAGCCCCGCCCAGATAGGAGCGCTGAAGAATCCTACACAATTGAAAGAGTCTCCAAATGGTGTACTGCTGTTGGTGTTCTCAAAGAATGGTTGAATCTGAAATGGAGTATAATAACTATGGGTTAGCCCTGCAGGTTTCAGCATATCTGAGCAAGCTCGAAAGGAGTGAGCTTACAGAAAACCGATATTAAGCATATCTTTAGTTGCTTTTCACGGGAGGAGAACGGAGGCCCAAATAAAACAATGAAAAACTAACACAAACGAAATGATTATTTTTAATTTAATTATACAAGTATGTATTATATTTCTTATTAAATATAATACTCTCCAATGCATATTTTTATTCTGTTTCATATTATTATAATTAGTTCAACCTTTTATCCAATATTTTAAACGAAATATGTTTCCGATATTCTGCTATAGGTAAAATATAGTTAAATTAGACAAGTACAATTTTTACCTAGCTACCTGCAATCCTTAGATTAGACAAACGCAAACCTTAATCTAATCTAAGGAAATGATTTTGTGACAACTCTTGCACATATTTAGACTGGAGACAGTCTTGTAGATATTTTGCAGGCTATCAAAGTGTTCTTGTAATTCTATGTTAGAAACTTCTTTTTAGGTTACCCAGTAAATATTTAAATGTTGAGCAGTATAAGAAAAAATATGTCCATACCTTCAAATTCTCAAAGTTGAGTGTGTAGTCTCTGGTATCGTTAACACTGGCAAACCTCACATTTTCAGCACAACGGTAAGAGAATCCTTCTATGGCGAATACCTCCTCTACAGGATATAGATTTTCAAGGAATGTTGACAGAGACAGAGTTACCGAATCTGTGAAATAAAAATTACAATGGTTAAATTAATTGGTGGTGACTGATGTGATACCATAGCCTCACTGAGAGAGTGAGGTTACTAAAGTCCAAATTTTCTTTTCTTTTCTTTTCAGGGAGGGGACTGAAAGAGCACTTGTAACTCTTGAGTTACAGGTTTTCATGGGCGGCGGTAGTGACTTATCATCAGCCTGCTTGTTTGACCAAGTTGGCACTAAAAATTATTTGACAATGTAATTCTAAAACTAAAACAATAATAAAAATGTTTATTTCATCTACAAATTACGTCATGATATACAATTTACAGTTGACAGACTAGTAGTTGACAAGAAATTCATAATTTGTGGGAGGACCATTATGTAGATTGTCAACATGTCAGAAGCATACTATAAAATCATTCCTTAATTCTGACAATTTATGTTTAGGTTCCACAACTCCACTATGAAAATAATAATAACTATGAGTTTTTTGAAACAGCAGTCTTGCAGACGAGGCATTATTCGTCATCATCATCAACAGCCTTTTATAGTCCACTTCTGGACATAGACTTCTCCTTAGAAAGCAGGTTTTGGCCTTTTATACTATGCTGGCCAGACTGTTTGGTATAGGGTTTGTTGTTTGTTTGTGTTTTCCTTCTCTTTGCAGTGCTGATTTTCTGCATAGTTTGCTCCCTTAGTCAATTCTTACATGACACATGGGATGAATATGGGTTGTGATACTCCATATTCTTAATCCGTCAGTACATGGATAATTCTTCAGATTAGTTAATGTATTAGTCCATCCAGAGTGCATGTGACTAGGAGTACTAAGTCCTAAGGTATAATTTAAGGACTTGCTTTGAATTAAGAAAACCTCTCAACCATTAGAGGAACTCTGGTGATCAGCACTATCATTAACATGGTATTTTTAACTACAGGATTATTATTTTTATTCACTGATTTGTCCATACCATAAACCATGGCCGCATTTTAACCAAAAGTCTGTTAAAATATAATATTCACACATCTCACCCATGGCCGCCTGATCCCAAACTAAGCAGAACCTGTACTATACTAACCAGACTGCTGATGAACTAACTTGTATATTTCTAAATACATACATATTTTAGATAAATTACACAGACACAGAACAATTGACCGTGCTTATCACACAATTATTTGTCCTGGGTGGGAATCAAACCCACAACTAACCACTAGACCAACAGGCCAGTTAAAAGTAATAAAACTTTACCTAACATCCCTTTAAGGGCTCTATTTTCATAACAAGGTATCTTTATATTTTCACCAAGTACATGTTCCATCTGTTCATTATTGTCTTAGTGTCTTAGCTTAGTGATAGGTAACCGTTTAACAATTCTAATGGTCGTTAGAACTAGAAAACTCAAAAATTGCATTGGTATATCACTCATAACTATAGTGATAAATTTAAATTAAAATAACCAATGAACCTGACAGTAGCCAGATTTGTAACATTTCAAAACTCACCTACTGTCTGATGGACAACTCCAGAACTGTGTGTACAAATTGGTTAAATAAAATAGATTGAAAATTGGTAAAATCAAATAAAGTGCACTTTCCTGGCATTCTGTTGCAAACTACTGTCCCTCAAAGTATATAAGTAAAGTGAGGATAATTTTTTTCTCATCTATAGCATGTACTTGGAGATTTAATTTCTACTTGTTTAAATTATAGAATCCTATATTGCATGTTCCTGGCCATGCACTTGGCTCGTTTCACTACTTTTATACAACTATCACTTTTTGTACATCAATTGCATATGCAAAATATGATCTTTGATGTGGAGTTGCAGAAAACCGCCAGTGTAAGCCTAACCTATACATCGACCGAATCATCACAGTGACTACGTTCAGCGGTGCAATTTTTATTGATTTTTGCATCATATTATACAGAAATTTTTAAATTTAATTACTGCTATTGATGACTGATAAAAATTGATTATACTCACCGAAGTACCAGTAACCACCCTTCATAACAAAGTTCAGCATGATACTTGTGTCATTCTCATACACCAAGGTGGTATTCATGACGTCGGTATCGAAAGTAGTGTTGGAGCTTACAAGTGGTGTTAACGGTATAGTCTCATTCCTGCTTTTGAGGGAGATGCTCTTAGCATGTAGACGCAGGCCAATAAGATCGATGAAATCGTTCCTACTCGCAGCACGGCGTGCACGGGAGTGACTAACAGGGATGATCCATGATGGGGAGTAGGCTGTATAGATAGCCACAACTTTAACCCCATTCTCCTGCAGCTTGGATACCGTGTTCTGCATAAATTCATCGTGACGACGCAGATAAGCGGTCCTGGACTCATCCTCGAGCGCGTCTTTCAAGTTAATAATGACAAATTTGTCAGAACTCTTGACAGAAATGTCGTCGGATGAAACAGCGTTGGTAAGATCAATAGTGGTCTCCGAACCATCTGCAAACGTTTTCAGCACTTCTAACGGATTGGCTACCGAAGGCAAGTATGCAGCACTTCCAATTTTGCTATGTAAGTAATTGAAAGAAGGCAAACCATCATCGTCTCTACGTGAGAAGTCTTCTACGGAGAGCGTCTGCTCAGCGAACACAACAACCAAACTTTCAGCCGTTTCTTCTTTAAGAATTTGTGCAAACTCTTCTTCATTTAATGTTGTGAGGGGATTCGCCTCCGACAAATGTTGGGGCAAATCGCCCCACATATACACCGGAGCGACAGATGCATAACAGTTAACTACACTTAGAACTAACAATGGGAACACCAAACGGCAATACGCCATTTTATAAAGCTAAAACTATGGACGTAAACGAATTAAAACTTAATATTTCAGCCCAAAATTGTCATAAAAAGACAGCGTTTGGGCGATGACGACTGACCATCGGTCATGTGAAAAGTGATCATATGATAAGTTCGAATCGATGTCTATGGTTATTTAGGGTTGCCATTTAATTATCATAAAACAACCGTAAGCTTTCTTTTTCCTACAATCAATAACTTATTCATTACAAAACTGAAGTCAAAATTAATACATAATGAAGACATCTCTATGAAAAACATCAATGTAAAATACATAATTACTATAATTTACTATCATTCAATTTTTATTTATTTTATTTTACTTCTGGCACTAAAAATTTCCTTATTAAATGGGATTGAACAAAAAAGGCACTCATTCTCTTCTTTTTCTTTCTGATTACCTCAAATGACAGACCATAGACTCAAAAAGTAAAATTCTACAAGAGATTAGATACAGCAATTAGAATTCCACTGCCTAGATTTTGTACTATTACACTGCTAATAAACTGAAAACAATGACATTTCTAGCCTACCCTTCATTCGCTTGCAATATTATTAAGTTAGCTATTTAAAACAGTACCGTACTATGTTCTGAAGCTAATGTGTTAACTATAATAACTTATTACTTCATGTGATTACTGTAATTATATTTCATTTTATTCACTGCATAAAGAAAACTATTAAAAGGCTTATAAAGCATAATAAACAAGTTTGTTGATTAGGCCCTTTTTAACGACTTGGGTTAAGTCGTTAAAAAGGAGATCTACGTCCAGTAGTGGATTAGTTTCTTTACAGTGTGAACATTTTTTATTTAATTATCACATACCTACGTATTTATTTATTTAAACGTGACAAATGTATCAAACCAATCAATGTACCAAATCAATTTTTGAGAATATAATAAAATATACACATACATGCAATTTTTAGTGACATATTCATTTTTGGGTCCATTTGTTATAAGATTCTTACTTCTGGGGGATGGAAAAACAGGATAATCTAATGGTCTGAATTGAAGGCAACCGTCCAAATGCTGGCACCACTTCGAAATGTGAGGTGCACTATCAGTGGCGGATTTACCGGCACGCTGAGTAGGCTGGAGCCTAGGGCTGCAAATTTGTCACAAAATACTTTTGTCTCCTTGACATTTTCGCAGAAGATTGCGACAGCGATGAAACATCTGACACTACCGGCCATGGCGCGTATTACGGCCGGCAGCGAGAGATCCTCTCTGATGACCGGAATGAGGACCCAACGGTGCGACGCCCAAGCTAGGCAAATTGCGCAGGCGGTACTAAATTCACTCCCAGTAACCAAGTGCAGGTACTTCTCAAAGCAGCCGTACCCGTAAAGAACCTGCTTCAGTCCAAAGGAAAGGGTCCCATGCTGACGCCCGACGATGACAAGCTGGAGCGCCTCCAGCCGGGACAACCAACAAGTCATCATGGCTCGGCGAGCGGTCCCACGCCACTCGGGCGAGAGCCGACTGCCGTTACTTGCTCAGAATTCAGCCATCCGCAGATACTTCCGCCTCAAAATCTTACGGGGGTGTTCCGGCCAACGCTCACGCCGCAGCCGTAGACACGTTGCGGCAACCGAACCCTTACAGCGGCTGTACCCTTACCCAAACTGTCATCGTCGTAACAAATTACGCTCAGCCCGGGGGGAAAGACTACTCGAGGGCCCCAGTCGTCTCCTATGTTCCACAGGAGGGTTCCAAAAACAGACCCTTGTGGAATACTGGACGTCAAGGGCCGGCGCCTTAGATATCCATCTTGGTTCTCATACATGACGGTATGTTCCTCTGAATAATCTGCCACTAGCCACCCTACTCTGGCACCCTGTGATAGTGGAGTGCTTCCCTGATGTAGCAGAATGGCAGGATATTGAATGCGTTGGCCATGTCCAACGACACTGCCAACAGCACGTTGCTGCGGCTCACTGCCTCTTCGGTTACAATCCTGAGGCGCAACACAGCGCCGATCGTCGAACGCCCCCATTGTAAACCGAATTGGACGTCTGACAGATAGGGGCACTGCCCCTATCTGTCAGACGTCCAATGCCCCTGCCCCTGGGGCAGAGCTTTTGTGGCACTGCGCGATAAGGGCGGCCGACTCACGATCGAGACCATTCAGTATCCCCATTCGGTTTGGACAACCCTGAACTAGAATATTCAATTGAGAGTCCGGATGTCTTATTGACAACTATTGCCGGATCCCTCCTATTTTAGACACAGGTAGCACACCGTACGATTTTAGTCGGTTCAATTCCGAAACACCGTCCCTTTGCAAATCTCGGTGTGACGGCCCGAGGGAGTTTCCACAGGTAAAAAAAAGAGCTTAGAATTGCAGAGGTTTGTAGGGGTGGCAAAAATTATTAGCCTATAGGCGGCAAAAATGTAAATCCGCAACTTTGCACTGTAACGTTCATAGATTGTACTACTGATTTTGAGTTTCTGGTAGGTACTACATGGAATCGTACTGTGTTAAAACTCTTTATGTTTTAATAAACAAAATAGACTTTTCTGACAACAAACACAGTGATCGTCATTGGCTTCATGACAGATAAAAAAAAAATAGTTTACTCTATAAGATTAATTATTCTAAATATAATGAATTTATTCTATGTTATTTACTTTTTTCTGTTCCTTCGAAAAGCGTATGCTGATAAGAATACTTTGCCAGTGTTCATGATTGACCAAGACCAAACCATGCTCCATATCAGTTTAGATCCCAACCCATTTGACAAAATGAGCACCTCAAAGTTTGCGAATATTATCCACGAGTCAATGAAACATAGCTCAGGCATTATCATATTCGTTGAAGAGTATTTTAGTATTGAAGATATAAGTCTCAAGGATAAAGAGGGTTCACCGTACGTAAATTTGCGCCGCAGCATGCAGGACAACAAAGCAAAATATTTTCCTGCTGTTATAGAGCCTTACAAATTGCTATCACAGTTATTTCCAGCTCACAAATATAACGTTTTCTATCTCAAGTCTCGTACAAAGCTCGAGTTAATGAATTCTTTTAAGTATTTATATATATATTTTCAAGACGGAGTGAATGAAACTAGAGCCAATGTATTGAGGCGTCATGATTTGATTATTCGTGAGGTTTGTTTCGTTGTCAGTCAGTTGAAACATGCGCCTGTTATTGCTTTTTACACGGGGAAGACTAATCCAGTGAAAACTGAAAAGTTACATTTTGTGCCGATTAAACCCATCCCCATACCAAAAGATTTAGGTGTAATGGTTGTATCATCTGGTGGACTGTTTCGGTTTTCTGGTAAGATAAAATCTTTAGGTACATTATTTAAGTAGATAAATGTTTTTTTTCCATTATGGCCATTTCTCTGACCGTCTAAGTAAATAGCTTCAAAATGTTTTAGAAAGAATTCATTTATATTAAGGCATCGAAATTAATGGCACGTTTGATGTTATAATGTTATAAAAAAACTTTGAGTTTAAGCTCGATGGCTTACTTTCTTATTTTAAAGACAACAAGTATCGTGTAAGCCATTTGCAAAAAAATAGAGTCCAATGGGCGGCGTTAGTCACTTATCATCAGGTGACCAATTTGCTCGATTGCCTCCTGTTTGTCTATGTTATGTGTTTCTGTAGATTTGTCTATATGCCGAATAGCCAATTCGAATTCTAGTGACTGTCTAATTTATAGATAATTTGACAAATATGTTATGTTTTCGTCTATTAAGCTTCCTTTATAACTTCCTTTTTAACTCACAATGAGTTACGAACAAAAAGTTTTTTCTTCTTTCTTTCTTACATACTATCGATTTATTCTGTCATGCCAGCCTATGGATTTTTGTTTTATTTCCCCAGATAAACTTTTTAGATCAAGGTTATCATGTGAACAAGGCTAATTCTCGTAATAAAAGATCGGTCAAAATTCAGTTCCGATTCTCGATCTCACAAATGTCACGAAAGGTAAGTATATTAGTGGTAAAACAGTAAAGTACGAATATCAATAAGACTACCAGACTAGCAATTGAACTTCCTTTCATACAATTCGAAAAAAAAAAAAAAAAAAAATCACATTACAGTCAACTTTGCAAGTTTAATACTTTACTACGCTAATATCTTTTATGACATTTGTGAGATCGGTACTGAATTTTAACCGAATTTTTGGTCAACAAACAATTGGTCTTTAGGACAAGGGACGATCTGGTGGTCACCGTATATACATAATTTTTTATCAATTTCTTGTAGTTTACAAAAAGTGAAATTATAAACTTATGAAATGATTACATTCTTTACAGACGTGTTTGCAGCAACCCCGAATCGTCGTTCAATTTTCAACCAATTGCCAATGATAGCAGAAGAAACATGGTCAAGACAGAGCATGTCCACCAAGATGGCCTACACTGACTTCGAATTGGAGTTTAACTTTAGCTTCTTGAAGGATCGGTGGCTTTTAGGTTAAATAAGTTTTTTTTTTGTGTTTATTATTAAAAGGACTTTGTTGCTGAGCGACTACATCGTCCCATAAGAACAGCAAACAATACCTCGAACATGAGTAACCTTGTCTTAAAACTACATCATTGTGTACTTATCTAAGTCATCATCCAGTTTAAGTTTAAGTTTAACCGTCTAATTTGTTCTGTCGTTGAATTAGACAACATATCATTCAAATAACCAACTAGGAGTCTCTTGTTTCCGTCACAACACGATATCTCAGACGCTCATTCTGAACACATTCTATCGAAACTTGTTGGACATCTTCTTTTGCACCGTATTAATTCAATTGGACGACAGGACTTTTACATCAAAAGTGCCGAACGTAATCTCAGTACAGTTTTCAAATGATTTCTGTTTAATAGTATGCTATCTATTTAGAGTAATACCGAAATTTGAGGCTGGATTGTTCCATACCAAATACCACTCTTACGCGAACGTTCATCAAAATATTCTTGACAATTTTTAAGGCCATTGTGCATATATCCTTTACCGGCCCAAAAAAAGAAATAATACACTTATAAGAATCATATCATCAGCTGCCTGATTAGCAAACATGTCTACGTGTTCGTTTGCTTGAATATGGGATGTGTCGTGATTGTTATCGAAGGACGGATCCAATATTCGTTAGGCAATCGGTTTACCTCTCCCGTGAGAGGCAGAGCAGGCAAAGGTGTACTACTTTCGTTTGGCGTGAACAATTTGAGAAGAAATTACCGGAATGTTACCTACTAACCCAAGTTTCCAAAGACAACATTTCAATGAAATTGCTACACTGTTTGGAACTATGGAATCGCAATTTAAGAAGTTTTTTATTCAAGCGGTATTTTTTATTCCGCTCAAGCGAGAATTAACTAGTGATGATAATTGATCTAAAAAATATTAAAATTATTATTAGTAAAATATTGTTTTTCAAAAAAATCCTGCTAGATATTGACTACGAACCTGAAGGGGATGAATAAAATAAAATTAAAATAAAGTAAACAATTAAAACTGCATTCCAGAGAAAATTAGTTTAATATTATTATCACACGTAAAACAACACTTCTGTAATTTTAAAACCCATATTGAGCTATCTTTGATATTTTCATTTTTTAAATATGGCGCTAAAATTAAATTAGGAATTTAAAAATGGAGTTGAGTCCAAATTGTAATAATACAGCACTGGTATTTCTTTGATTAGATAACGTGGCATTGTTAGAGGCGGGTGAAGAGGTGGGACGTACGATCATGGGAGTCGGAGCCCCATGGAACATGTCGTATGTTTGCGGAGAGCCTTTAGTTATAGTCAACTCCAGGGACGGCAGCGCCGTTACTATATCTCGGTATCAGGTAATTTTTGATTATATAATCATATATATATGAATTTCACTTAATAAATATTGGCAGGCTTGTGATGCGATACGCTAAGAAGTGTGTTCAATTTAAAAAAAAAAACGGGCATGTACGACGCGGTCTCGCCCACCGAGGGTTCCGTACAAACTCATCTAAGGCAACAGATAAAATATTACGAAAAAATAATTTTATTTTTAAATGAATTATGGCTTTATACTTAGATTTTGCTAAAATATTTCTTTTACGTAATTAAAAGATAATAGGGACCATAGAGATGTAAGCGTAGAGTGAAGAAGAATTTCCCCAATATAGACAAAGAGAGAGATGGATAATAGATAGTTCCCTCTATCTCTTTCTAGTCGAGCTCTGTGGTTGGCTGGGGAAATTTCTAATCGCCCGCCTGTTCTATCAAAACGTCAACCATGCCCACGTCACTATAGCCAATTGCAGCTTAGTTTAACAGAGACAGAGGGAACTATCGGGCATCCATCTCTCTCGTTGCCTGTATCGCTTCCACTTACAGGCAGCTGTACCAGCGTATTCTCTCGTATGATAGGAACCTAGACAACACGAATCTGGTTTTAAAGTCATGCCATACTTATATTGGTGCAGATTGATATACAATTTATTTTTGCCATAGGATAATACTCTGTCGTTAAGGCGGCAATCTTTATATATAAGTCTTCTCCTGAACGGGTGAAATCAAAAAAAAAAACATCAAATTCGTTACCACCGGTAACGATTTTGATGAAATTTTTTGTACTTGTGGATTAGAGAATGTTTAGATTCTTAATTCGGTCCACTACAAATGTTTTATGCCACTACGAAATATGGGCGCAGAAAACCAATGAAAAATGTTGCAAAAACGAGGAAAGTTTATTCTTTTTGGGAGACGCTGTTGAACAAGTTATCGTCTACGGTATAACGACCATCAAACCTTCAAGAAAAGAACCCTTCCTCAAAGGCTGGCATCGCGCTTGTGACTCCTGAGTTGCAGGCGTTCATGGGCGGCGGTAGTTACTTTTCATCAGGTGACCCGTCTGCTCGTCTACCTCTTTCATAAAAAAAAGACATAGACAAAGTTGCGTGGGTCAGCTATTATATACATACAAAATAATTTGATCTGACTAACTGATTCATCAACACAGAACCTAAACCGCTGAGGCTTGAAAATTGAAAGACAGACTTGAAAATTTGGCAGATGTTGCTTTTTTATTGTGTAAGCACCCACTAACAGTGGATTTTCGGAAAGTTAAAAATACGAAATTAGAAATATTATCTTTACTAGTGTCACTGCAAAAAAATATAAGTATTTGTTTATGGTTTGTAAAGAGTCGTATTACATTATTAATTTAATAAAGAAATAGATAATAATAAAAACCTTCTCATTTCAAACAATACTAACGAAGACCAAATAAACGCACTGCTCCAATGAGACAGCAAGGTTTCGTAAGGAAACAAAAATATCATCGATGTATACAATTTTTAGATTTTTGTTGATTTTTTAGAAACCGCTTGACCGATTTCAATAAAATTTAAATGGGAAGCACCTGGGAAGTTTACCCTTTAAAACCAAAAAATAATAGTTTTCCTAATCGGTACAGGTGTCTTCGAGTAATCGGTGAACATACATAAAAAAAAGATTCTCACGAATTGAGAACCTCCTGCTTTTTAGAAGTCGGTTAAAAATATTTTAAGTAAGAAAAAAGAAAGTGTAACTGCAAGTATATATGTGTGGAGGAACGGCTGTTATGTCCTTCCAACACAAAGGGAGGATCCTCCAACCAGGCGAGGTGATCATGCCTGATCATGTGATAGATGTTGGGAAGTTGCATATATGCTAATCGGCGAGAGAATTGTTAATATCGCGGTACACGATTAGCAGTATGTATGGTTCAATGTGTCTTCGATAGATGGCACTGTAGTATGTTTCTTTGTTTCACCGTATGTGGAAGTCGCCACATAATAATATGTATATGTGTATGTATTTCTGTCCCACTGTTTCTGTCCATCTCCTCAATTATTGTTATTATCTTTAAAAAAAAACTTTATTAGTTACTGGTCCTACTCAGACATTTCGCCATCACCCAAAGGTTGACTTCATGGTGGTTGATGGGTGATTTTATTCTCGGTATTGAATGAACATAATATTACAGATTTATATTTATAAATAAAGATATAGTAAATTTATTTTGTTGAACAGATCCAGCCCCGCAGGAGACACTCTCGGCGAGATGATACTGACGAAGAAGCCCCAGAGGCACCACCCGCTGATGGGGACGGCGAAGACGGAGGCGGGGGCGACGGTGGCGGTGATGCTGAGCCCCCTAGTTTCGACAAGAGCTTGAACTGTGGCCCTTACTTCAGTGCGCCTATAGTGACGACCCTTATGGTGACTTTCATATGTCTTTTAATTTTAACATACGGTATTGTTTCCATGATGGCTATTAGGAGTAATGACCGCTACGAAGATCCGATGTCCAAGCCACTGCTGCATCCAGAAAATTAGTCTTTTAAACAATAAATGTGTGTTTATTTGTTTTGTATTGTTTTATTACCGGAATGTATATACCACGGCCTGGCAGCTTCTAAGTACAACGAAAAAGATATGCTTCAGTGTGATCTAACGCGCCGCTTAATATACATACAACTTCCTCCCTGGCGAGCAGGGCCCAATGGGTGCCCGCTTGCCTTGCTTGGTCGGAGGCTCTTTCCTTAGCATTGAATTGGAGGACATAAGCCTATCCTTAGAAAGGAGGTTTTGGCCTACTATACCACGCTGGCCAGACGGGTTGGTATAGGGTTTGTGTCAAGTTTACCTTCTCTCTGCAGTGCTGTTGTTCTGCGTAGTTTTCTCCCTAAGTCGGCTCTTACGACACCCACGGGATGAATAGGGGTGATGACTGTATTCTGTATACTCTGTATTCTTAATCCGTCACCACACGGACCTAGATACACCATAACAACATTAAATGACAACTCGATTCTGCCAATTTTATTTTCTGTATAACATAACTGTCTACAGGAATTAACGCGCTCACGACAGATATTGGTATTGGTTGTGAACTCTAATTTCCGCATTTAGACTCAAGAATGGTTCTTTATGCGTCGAAGGAACGTTGACTAGGTGAGCCAACCAAGCTCCTTCCAGAAGCGAAGAAGAGTCTTAGGGCATGCTCCTCACAGGCTTCTAGGAGCGATTTTGTATCAGGTATGATACTAACCCGTTGAGTGGTCCCTTGGATTCCAGAACTACCGGGGCGACCGTTTCTTCCCAGAGAAGCCGAAATCAATCTAAGTGGCGTGCAATGGGAGAGGCCTATGTCCAGCAGTGGACTGCGATAGGCTGATGATGATTCCAAATATAATACGTGTCCGTGTTCCTTATTTCTTTAAAAAGGGATACAAAGAATTTTTAATCGAAACATGGAGATTTAGTTCTAAGAGTAATTTAAATTAATTAAAACCAAAATTACTTGAATTTAGAATAATTTTCTAGCGGCGCTACACAAGTTTGCAAAATAAAAAAAACAACGGCATATTTCTTAACCATGTATTTGGTAAAGCTGAAACTAACTACATATTACAAACAGATGTAGATACAAATAATTAATAACAATAATAGGTAAACGAGAAAAATAACTACTTAACTGTAGTCCTTTCTCAATACCTAGATATTAGAATGAATTTTTTTTAGAATTGTCTAATGATGATTTTGCAGTATGCAGTACACATTTCGCCTCTAAACGTGCTTAAACTAACTTTAAATGCAATATTTCTAACAATCCCAGAAATACGTACTGCATGCTTTGACAAAATTATATTTTGGTGACTATAAAGTGTTTAAACTATTAGTTTCGAGTGGTTCATATTCAAGGGATAAAACAAATGTAATCCCAGATCCTGTATTGTAACACTTCATAATTTCCAAGGAGACTTTCTGTATACATTAATTTATACAACACTAGACATAGTTCTGCATGTTTTACGAAAAAAGGATGCAAAATATTGTATTGCGCAATACCATTTTGGTAACAATTTATTAACCAATTACATCTCTAGTTACTAAAATTTTACCAAAATTAAGAGTTATTAACAACCTACAATCAATTAAGACTTGCCATCTGTATAAAAATGAATTTAAATAAATAATAAATTAAAATACTATATATATACATAATTACACATATTATATTCCGTATGTTTAAATTCGCAATTTAAGATTGTCATTTGTGACAGTTTTATTAGCTGCGTGTATAATCTCCCCAATGTCAAATGTGTCATAATATATATATTATTATCGTGTAAGTTGGCAAACATAAAAATAATGTAAAAAAAATCCTTTGACAGTTTGTCTTTCAAATACATGACATTGGCGAAATTGTCTTTACCAAAAGACAAGACAATGTAAAAAATATATTACTATAATATAATAAAATAATATTATAACTGACATATGACATCGTGAAATGATATTTTTGTATATAGAGTTGACATCAAAATATTTTTTTTGGAAATCTAACCTTACTACTTTAATACACCTGTTGGGTTTAAAATATTAATCATTGTGGTTAGAACGTGTCATATATATATTTTTTTGTAGTTTAAATTGAAATTAGAAAATGACGCCATTTTGATTTGAAATTAAATACGAAATACGTTTAAAACTATTCTAATAAATTAATCTAAGTTTAAAACAAAATGGCGGCGTGATGAGTTCGACTATTTTACTATCTAAAGGCGGAGTTCAAATTTCGTAATGGCCCTAATGAAGATCGCAAGTCCTAATTATAGTACAGAGAAATACCAGTCCCTTTTTATACAAAATAACTATTTTCACATTCATTATTAAATGACGTCTACATTGTGATGGAATAAAATGCAAAATTATACAAAACCATACCTTTTGGTTTTGCACATAACGCATTTTCATAACAAATATTGAATCTACAATGTTACAAATCATATAACATTTTGTTTTTTTATATACCGGCAAACGTGAATTTTTAACAAGGTGAAGAAGGCAAGATTATTGTTTCTTTAATATCACCAATATTGTAACAGATTTTTATTAACAATAAAAAATATTTTGCTACCTTTTAAAGCCTCTTACTGTAAAATTTGCTTTGTATGTTTGTTGAGAAACTTCACTTATATTCAGTCACTATTTGTTACTGAATATAAGTGATATTTCTTTGGCAAACAGTGTTAACTGGCAGAAAATAATTACCTTGTCTTATTCTTCATTATACTCACCCTGAGATTGCACAGTATGACATTTCATTGGTTTTAGAGCCAAAACACTACCACTAACTACAGAAGAAACAAAAGTTATTGAAAACATTCATTTATTGCCAACAATTCTGCCTTTACAGCTTCAAAACCACTAAACGCTCTGTATTTAGTAATACCACATCTGTAATCTCACTGGATCTAGATTTCCATTACACAAGCAACTTGCTCAAGTACGAATACCCATTATTGTTATTTATTTCGATAATTCTGCACATACTTTTAGAAAGTTACTATTTAACAAAAAAAGAATGGTGAATAGTAAACCAGTTTAATATGGAGGTTATTTATACTATGAATTTAAACAGTAAATACTAATAACATTTAACAACCACCTTTAATAGTCCACTGCTGGACATAGGCCACTCGATAGCAAGGAGGTTTTGGCTTACTACACCACGCTGGCCAGTTAGGTTTGCATTAATATTTACGCGTGTGAAACAGCATTGAATAGCTAGTATAGTATTACTAAATCATTTAAATCAATGACTGCACTGTTTAGAGATAATTCTTACAGGATTTCAAATTCCATAACAATAGTGTCCCACTGTTATTTTTCTACAATTTTATGGATGTTAGTTACATATATTTAAGACATTTTCATTAGATATGTCTATTTATAATTCATATCCCAACACAACTTCGTGAGAGGAATTTATTAATCAATGACTTGAATGTGTTCATCCTAGTATATTTCAGTTTTATTATTTTCACATAGTTTACTCTATCAGCTGATCAGCCTGTGTTTACAAGTTCCTTCTACTAGCCTGATAGCACAAATACCGTCTGGACTTGTCACAATTCCGGCACAACATCTTGAAAACAGTCAATAAGATATAGTTGCACATTCAGGGGATTTGTGAGCAAATATGTCATTTTTTAGTATCTAGCAGTGTTTAGTTTAAAATTGACGCATTTTGGTCAGTTCTCATATTCTGGGTCTCTTTCAAGTCAATCCTAATTTTGGTAGCGAATACCAATGGCTTATCTTAGCTTGGAGACTTCAGTAGCATTTCATAGCCTAACATTTGCTTTGCAAAATGTATTTTATCATCTAACACAACTGCTAGAAAGAGCTTCATATTGTCTCTACATTCTCATTTTCATCTTCTGCTCACTATTTCCATATAATAACGCGTGTAAATGCAAATCACATTAATATACTGTTCAACACAAGAAGCTTCTTGAAATTATTTTTTGACCACTGCTTCCATCCAGCTGTTTTCAAAGTACAGTGCTAATTAAGTTGAAACACAAACTGAAAAGCTATTATTTCTAACATCTGTAATGAGTTTTACTTGTTTTCCATATTCCAAAGCATATTTAGTAAATGCTCTAAACAAAATTAACGATAAATGTGCAGACATTCTTTTAATTGCTAGCTTACTTAGCTCTTTACACAGTGAAACCGCAGCAGAGGCTGCGGTACTGTGTAAAGATTGATGCCCAAAGTCACAAGGTACCAGCGCCTCGACAAATAAAACTGTTTTCGACAATCGGCCAAGTGTTTTTACTACTTTCATGATCAATTTTGGATATTAGTATAATAAACATTAAATAAATATATTCACTAGCCATGTATATGTAACAATATAAAATAATTAAATAAATCAACTACATAACTTATGTAATTTGAAGACAACATGTCAGTTTTCTGAAAGCCTTACTTTGTTGTGCTCAACACAAAATAATCATTGAACTGTTTGACCTGTCCTGCAATATGCTTGTATAATGGAGTTAGTTAGATCCTGCAAGAGCCATTAAAGCCGGTAAACACTCACACCCACACTACACATATATTCTTGGTGTCTGTCACATATTCGATACATGAAGGTAACGTCACTATTACTTTATTTAATTCTTCTCTTCCTTCTTCTCTTGTGTTTGTTCGGTGGATTGCTGCTGTTGCGCTCCGCCTTCACGTTCGGCCGCCATCTGAGAATAATAACAATTTTCAATACAAATAAACACTAAGTTAACCCATTTCAGCATCTTTTATCTTGTCTATTAAACATTTTTCTTTTAGTAACTATTCACAAATTTAGTATTAATAAAAAAAAAAAAGTCTGCTTAGGAGCCAATTATAAATCACGTCACATGATAAGGCGGGGCAGAGGGGGGCAGTCGGGCGACTAAGGTTGACATTGTGTATGTTGGTCCTAAGTTTCGTGATGTTTCATTTCAAAACCTAATTTATCTAAGTATTAAAACGCGATATTTAAATTTTTAACAGTATATTCAAAAAGTTTTTTAAGTTCTAAACTACTTTGTTCTTGCGTGTTTCAATTTAATTTCTCGATATAAAACTGCAAAATATGTGGCGTCACATTAAGCAATCGGGGGCAGGAAAGAGGAACTCACAATTTTTTTATAAATAATGAAATTCATGGTTGGCCTTTCATTGGACCATCCATACGTTACGTGTCACTTTGGATATTTATACTAAATAATAGTTGAATTGACGTCTCTCCCCTATTTTGAACTGACGTAAATTAATGTAAAACCTGTTTTGCTTCACCCGCTACATAACAACATCAGCACTGTGCTTCGAGTAAATCTATCTGTTGGAGTATCCAAATTTCTGTTACGTTACACAAACGCTCAGCTAATTAAATACTCCGTCTATATAGCACATTCGCTTGACCGCCGCGCTCAAATACGAACGCGACGGCTCAAAGAAGTGCAAAACATAGCTTATTCATCCAATGTCTTGTTTAATAAATACTATTGTTGTTCTAGATACTTGTATTCGTATCCTAATTCATATATATGTGTATTAGTATTGTTACGGATCAGAATACAGTCATTTTTTACAATTATATTTAATTTTTGTGAATGTTATTATTGGAGTGCTGATTTAAAAACAACAAAAATAGGTAAACAATATGCTTTTTTTATGTTTTACTTACACATTTTGTTTATCAAATCCTCAAAAACCAACAGTAGTCAGTTATATGGTGGACGAATAGTGGTCTATTAAATCCCAATATCACTATAATTATATTATAATGCTTTTGAAGTTCACATAAGACCATAAACCACCAGATTTGATTGCACAGATGGGGTAACAGGGGGGTCCAGTAATAGTTTAAGCGGCAGTGCAGTCTTGTGGGTTCCGTCACACACTGTGTGATCGACAAATTGTTGTTCTGAGCCTGAGTGTTCCTTGTGTCCAAATTATGTATGTGTGTAAAGTTCTGGACATAGGATATATTCCTAGTGCTGAAGTCGTGATAAAGACGCTTTGGAGATTGGTGTAGGACCAGGTGCAACATTAGGAAGCACTGAGGCAAGCACATTATAAAATTTCAACAGGAATAATAGACCAAAACTTAGATTTTCACTGTATCTAAACAACTTATTGTGATCTTACCTTCTTGTAGGCCTGCTCGAAGAGCTTGAGGCTAGCTTGCTGCAGCTGTCCAGTGGCGGTGCGGATCTCCTCGGGATCTGTGTCGTCCTTCTTAGCGAGGAGGTCGCGGAGTTTCACAATCTCGCCGCGGAGTTTATCACACTGGAACAATAGGACAATTTTTGCTTACTTTTTAATTGTTTTAGGCAGTTACAGTTTGTGTGTTTGTTCATTCATCAATCATTTAATTACATTAAAAAAATGATCTTTTGATTGTTTTGCTAATCTCAAACTATAAATGAAAGCCAATCTTAAACTATCAATGAAATTTTAAACATTCTTTTATTGCACAAGGTATTCATTGAGAAAGATATAGGCGATGGAACATCACGTTTCAATCTTTAGAAGCAGAACAGTAACGATAAACATACATACATACATGAAGCTGTGGGGATCGTCTACAAAGTTACATAAATGTGTGCCGAGTGCTGAGCTGTGAGAGCTGTGTGGGATCGTCTACAAAGTTACATAAATGCGTGCTTGAGACAGTATGAGTAGTTAACTAAAACCATCCGAAAATGCGAAAGTGTGTCTGTGTTACCTCTTCACGCTTTAACAGCTAAAACGATTTAGATGAAATTTGATATAGAAATAGTTTATCATCATCATCAGAAATCATCCTTTAAGGGGATGAAAAGCGATGTAAGGGCGGAAGTTTGTATGGAGGATCAAGAACCGCTGAACTATTTAAGTCAAATTTGGTATAGAGATAGTTTGGTTCTAGATAAAGGACATGGGTTACTTTCACGCTTAGACATACACGCGGGAGGAGCTGTGGGCAATAACTAGTGTTATATAAATGTGTGCTTAAAACAGTATGAGTATTTTACTAAAACCATTTTATATATAGCTTTTTTTAAACTTGTTTGTATGTAGGAGTCGTTAAATCGTCCCAACATCTAGTATAGAGTGGTGGGTGATAACGCGACCCGTTATTCTCGCACTCGGCTTTACCAAAGTCAGCTAAATACCGACATTGGTTTAAATAGAGTGCATTGAAAGGGTTTACGTGCTAAATAGAATCAATCAAATTAATATTATGATGTAAGACAGATATAAAATACCTAATGGGTGGAGCGAACGCGAAGATTTTCTTTTCAGGTACAATTGATTTAATTGTTATCACCAAATAGGCATTGCAAAATACTCGGTATTTATGTACTTTAGTTCTAAATACTACTAAATAATTGTACGTTGTTCTATATTTTTATATATATAGCGATATATATATTATACGTATATATATATATATTATCTAGACCAATGGCAGTAGACATATTCATTCATTATACTCTCGTTTAATATCATTGTAAGTTTTATTAGGGTGTTCGTTCGTATAGCCCTCACTTAAATACATGTATGGACGAACGTCTAACAGTATCTCATTGCAATCTACCAGAAATAACAATAATATAAGGTTACTAGATAGACTGCACACACGCATATATATAATAAGGGTTATTTTTACCGCGATAGTCGTGGGCAGAAGACAATTCGAAAGACAGCCCAACCTTCGAAAATTAGTAGCTTAAGAAAAATATCGTTCGTTTATGTAACAGTAAAGCTTTAGTACCTCCTCCTGCGGCAGCTGGCTCTTGTACTCGTCCATCTTGGTCTCGGTGTCGTGCAGCACGCCCTCGGCCTGGTTGCACACCTCCACGCGCTCGCGCCGCTGCTTGTCCGTGGCCGCGAACTGCTCCGCTGCCTTCACCATGTTCTCTATCTCGTCCTTCGACAGACCGCCCGACGACTGGATTACAACTGTTCGGAGAAAACTCGGCTTTAGATCGCCTTAAAACCAATGATACGACAAGAGGACAAAAAACCGCTTTCAATACTCTTCACCGAGTGAGTGTGGTTAACTGATTCTGGGGGGGATTGAAAGGGCGGCAACTAACTTGGGTTGCACTTACCACCATAACAAAGAAATCCTACTAAGTGAAAATCGTACACTTAAATTCACAAAATATTTTTTTTTTCTTCTAAATTACATTAAAATATATTAGTTAAGGCTGATAATGTACATAATTATGTATAAGTTAGACATAATTTTCTAAGACATTTACAAAACCCTTTATTTTAGTACCCCATTCGATAGATTTAGAAGATAATATTTTTTTTAAACATTGGCACCAATTTTTTCTATATCCTTTGACTCTCAAATTTGAGACCGATCTAACGACACCACAGAATTCATCAAGTCGTTTAGACTACAGAACGTGCATACACACACTTCAAAAAGAACACTTCTAGCACTGTTAAGTAAAGAGTAAGGAATTGTTGAAACTTTATAGTAAATTGTCATTTCGTAAACAAATACTCACTCTGCTGTTCCTTGCCAGTACCCTTGTCCCGAGCGGAGACGTGCACGATGCCGTTAGCGTCGATGTCGAAGGTCACTTCAATCTGGGGAACGCCGCGGGGAGCGGGCGGGATGCCCACAAGTGAGAACTGTCCCAGCAATTTGTTGTCGGTAGCCATTTCACGTTCGCCTTGGTGGACTTTGATTTCGACTTGAGTCTGGCCGTCGGCAGCTGTGTGCATGGAAATGAGAGTAAGTACAGAAGACTAAACCTCGTGTGTTATGTTAGTGTTATATTAAATATTCCGAGCTGGCAATTTCTTAGATAACGTTCTTCGAATGCATGCCTTCTATATTTATTAGTGGGTCATTGGCGCACCTTGCGGGAAGCCCTCGTTCAACCGTGCACAGCAATAGGATAATTATTAATGGTATAGACTTCATAAATGATTAGTGTAGATTTAATGATTGATTTCAATTTCTAACATTATAACGAGAAAAAAGGCAGAACTTTGTTGAAATGGCAATTGGTTCACAATTATTTAAATTATAATATATAAGGTTTGGTATAATAACAATGTACCGCGGTTTCTAGGAAAGTCGAGCGTATGTGACACACGACTAGCTGGTACCGCGACTGCTCTCGCATCGTTGCAAACGTGTACCGAGCACTGGCGCGGACACTGATCGACGATGCTGCTTCCAGTACCAACTTACTAAATCATTATTCAGTTAGTACAGGACAGAAATAAATAATTTGTGTTCATGGACTGCCTTTATGTCGGAGGAACATCAATTTGTTTTTTCTCTACACTGTATTGAAGCTTTATTCTTATCTACTCTTGTTTACTAGACAAAGAATATAATCCGTTTCTTTCGAAGCCTGCAAATTAATGAAATTGCCATTTCGGAATAATTAATATCTCGTTATGACTCTTAGGAGTGAAGAGTTGACAATAAATAGAGGTGAAAGCATGTTCCGTGTACACACCGGTGGAGAAGACCTGGCTCTTCTTGGTGGGTATGGTGGTGTTGCGCGTGATGAGCTTGGTGAAGACGCCGCCGAGCGTCTCGATGCCGAGCGACAGCGGCGTGACGTCGAGCAGCAGGATGTCGGTGACGTCACCGGCCAGCACGCCGCCCTGCACGGCGGCGCCCACGGCCACGGCCTCGTCAGGGTTCACGGCGCGGGACGGCGCGCGACCGAAGATCTCCTGCACCGTCTGCTGCACCTGCACCGACAACACCAGCGTCTTATATCGGCTCTGGCTTATACTAGCTAATCTCTAACACCCTCTCTACCGAGGAATCCCTATATTCACAAATCTACTAAAAGAAACTACGTATAATAAGTATATATTTACAAAAATAAAGTATGTATGTATTGATATCAGTTATCTACTAGCCATAGTACAAGCTTGGCTTAGTTTGGTTGTGTGAATGTGGTATAAAAAAAACTAATTTCGCTGTCAACATTTTTATCAGACACCCGTATTTTTTTCTAAAAGACAGGATATTCTAGTGCGGCACTCCCGCACTAGAAATATATCCTGTGTCGCGGGGGACTTTACAATCATACATGGTACCGGGCACAAAAAAACACAGATTCAGAACAACAATTTGTAGATCACGCAAAGTGTTGTCCCACGTGGGGATCGGACCCACGACACTCAAGCGCGGTAAGAAGCGGCGAGGTGACCGCTCAAACCACTACGCCATTCGTCCAGTCAAAACACAAATTGTCTCACTATCTTAAGCTTTATATAAACAAGTTTGTTTTTTACACAACTTACACATAGCAGTCTAATCTCAAACTAGACAGGGCCTATACTATAGTTAACAGACTCATAGATAAATAATTACACCCAGACAACAAATGATAGTGTTTATTATAAAATTACTTATCATGGGTGGAAATCTAAACCACAACGTCTGGTTTAGCAGTCAAGGTCACTAACAACCACAAAAAGGCTGGTCAAAATAATATATATAGTTTTGGACAAATGTCTGTAAGTGGATAATCCAACTGCCTATGAAAAGCAGTCGGTGAATATAACTCCATTATAATATTGCACCCACCCTATGGAGGGTTGCTTAGACAGCTATGAGGAACTGCCATCGGCAATGTGCTAAAGGTGCGTAGTTACTGTGCACACAAATTAAAAAAAAAAAAATTTTACATAATTACAAATCATGTAATGCGTAATTTTAAAAGTTAGTAAAACATTTCAGTTCCTTTAGCTTTTCTGTTTTTTTCCATAGACAAAACTTAATGTTATCTATACAAACAAGAAATGTATGACTAAAAATAAAAAACTTAAAATATTTTGATTGTCACGGTCGCATTCCCGCTTCGGTACAGCTGATTAGATTGTTTGATGGAATATAAGTTAGGTCTTAAAACAGCAATTTCTTAAAATTTATCACTTTTTGTTTTCCTCAACAATTTCAAATTTCTTAATTCAATTTTCATCACACAAATGTATTAATAAAAGTAATGTTAGGTGTATTTAATCTTTCCAGCATAGTACCAGGAATTTCCTTTTTAGGTTTCACCTGGTTCCCTGGCTACTGGTACTCGACAGGCTTACGATTTTAATCACTTCGACCTGCATAACCACCCCAACGGTCATCCGGTGGGAGTGTTCGAGGGGATTTCTGCACGAAAAAAAGGTGTAACTTACCTTAGGCATTCTGGTCATTCCACCAACGAGTAGAACCTCCCCGATGTCAGAGCGCTGTACCTCAGCGTCCTGCAGGGCTCGCTGGCAAGGAGCCACCGTGCGCTTGATCAGGTCACCCACTAGCGACTCCAACTTCGAACGGGTCATCTGTATCAACAAATAGAATACCGTGAATAAAACATTTTGTGATTGCTAAATAATGGGATGCAATATTTTCCCGACTACAAAGATGGAATTAATATTTAGTTGAAGTCTACACACAGGTGCAGGTTGAAAGTTCAAAACCTCTTTACTTAAATAAATTCCCTCATAATAAACATGTATATTATTTAGGAAAATAAAAAAACATTACAAGTAGACATATAATTAATACTTTTAGTTAGCACACACAACCCAATTTGTAACTTATTACAACACGCTAGAGTTCCCTTTTATCTCATCAATTCAATAAAACTGAAGCACCTTACTATATAACACCATAAAGAATGTGATAAGAGAAATGAGGTGTTACAATTACCTTAAGATTCATGTGTTTGGGTCCCGACGCGTCCATGGTTAAGTACGGCAGATTGATGTCGGTCTGTAGGGAACCTGACAGTTCAATCTTGGCCTTCTCTGCAGCTTCCTTCAGACGCTGCATGGCCATTGCGTCCTTGCGGATGTCGATACCTTGCTGTAGGGTTGAAAAACCATTTAGCAATCATAATTAGTTTTGGTACATAATTATTTGATATTGAAATTATAATATAAAGGGTTTGGAATTATAAAACTGTACCGCGGTTTCTAGGAAAGTCGAGTGTATATAATAAAACACGACTAGCTGGTACCGCGACTGCTCTCGCATCGTTGCAAAAGTGTGCAGAGCACTGGCGCGGACACTGATCGACGATGCTTCTCCATCATGGACAATCCTAACAACACTGAACTAAGCAGTGCTTTTTCTATAGGTCCTAATTACAGATACACAATACCCAGGAAATAGGATAAAAAATTAACATTTGCAGTTATGGGGATAGAAGCCGCGACCTCCGACGTAACAACACATATTAATAGTAGTATAGAAGTTGCACTGAGTAAAATTATCAAATAAATAGCACTTTTGCTCCTAAATGATAAAGTGCATTTCAGGTCTTACAGTGCTAATCATGTATAGTTATGTTCACTTTAAGTTGGTCCCTGCCTGAAATCACATAGTCTGCGGCCTCCCCAGAGAAGGGCGGCTGCGCGTCGGGGTGGTTTTTGGTGGAAAAACCACATACTCCGGCTCCTGGGTCCTTAAGGAGATTCGAATGATTTTCGTCCCCGAAACAAAAAAAGCCTATAGGGTGTAATGTGTATTTACTTACATCGCGTTTAAACTCATCAACGAGGAAATTGACAATGACATTGTCAAAGTCCTCTCCTCCGAGCAGCGTGTCTCCGTTGGTACTCTTGACTTCGAATACTCCCTTCTGGATCTCCAGAACCGAGATATCGAAGGTACCGCCACCCAAGTCGTATACGGCAATACTGAGGACAAAAAGCATTGGTAATATTTTTTTAAAGACACATATATCCTGTGTCGCGGGGGACTTTACAAACATATACGAAACGGGCACCAAGAACACTCAGAACAACAATTTGTGGATGACACAAAGCGGTGTCCCATGTGGGGATCGAACCTACAACACTTAGGGCAGTAGGAAGCTGCGTAGCGACCGCTTAAACCACTACGTCATCCGTGCAGTAGAATTATATTACTCTTTCATTCAGTGTACGATGATGTTGGTGCTCTCCATATTCTGGAACGTCTTCGCCAGCATTACTTTTTCTTCTAGTAATTAGTTTTAAGAGGAATATATAAAACTGTACCGCGGTTTCTAGGAAAGTCGCGCGTATGTGACACACGACTAGCTGGTACCGCGGTTGCTCTCGCATCGTTGCAAACGTGTACCGAGCACTGGCGCGGACACTGATCGACGATGCTTAATTATGTCTCCAACTAGCTATAGCCCTTTTTTTTCTAAGTGAAAGGTAGGTACCCTAAATCATTTTCTGTATCTATTATCACCTAAATGAAATATTTAATAGTCGGAGAGTCATCCTTCTTCACATATGGGTTGGCTCGACCAGTGATTCGACCATGGCCTCAGAGAACACCACTGTTTAGTAATTTTTTCGTCAATTTAATGTTTGTCACCAAGTGAGGTTACTAACCCCTTCACCTCTCCAAAGCTAGGATTTACTTATAAGCGGCAATTCATTTGTGCCTCTTGAATTCAGGTGTCCATGTCGGTTACCATCAAGCGACACGTCTGATCGATTGCCCTCATTCCATAAAAAAATCATAATTAAACATCAAAACGAGGGTTGCTGTACATTTTTGTATGAAATACTATGGCGTTACATCATTCCTAGCTATTTATATATATATATTAGATCTTGCTTTTAATTTATAAAAACATTAATAATATTAAATTGATAATGTTGGACAATTCAAGTTGTACTTTTTATTATAAACCTTTCTAACGGATCTTTTTTTCTTTTTTTTAAAAAAGACAACTCCCGCATTAGGAAAATATCCTGTGTCGCGGGGGACTTTACAAACATACATGAAACGGACACAAATAACACCCAGACTTGGAACAACAATTTGTGGATCACACAAAGTGTCATCGCATGTGGGGTCTGAACCCACAACACTCGGCGTAGTAAGAAGCGGCGTGGCAACCGCTTAAACCACTACGCCATCCGTGCAGTCAAATTACACTATTAAAGACTAGCCGGTACCCCCGACTTCGTTAGCGCGATTTTGAAAAGCGCTGCCTTAGTGGGTTTGATTCCCGGACCGTCAAAATTTTATGGGATTTTCTGAGAGGCCTAAGTTACTCCTTATATAGTCTATTAAAGATATGGTATTACTTACATCTTGTCATCAGTCTTGTCCATGCCGTAGGCGAGGGCGGCGGCTGTGGGCTCGTTGATCACACGCAGCACGTTCAAACCCGATATTTGACCTGGATTATTAAAAAAAATGTTATACCCCTTTACAAATAGTATACAAAAGGTGCCTAACTATTTTATCTAAGCGTTTTTAACCTAATGTGTGTTCTTCGGTTCTTTCCACTTGAATCAAATGAAGCCCCTAGGGGGTCTAGAGGGGGTTCAAGAGGAGAAAACCGATTCTTTAATTTAAGTGTCCCTCCTCTCCATGTAAATGAAAATCCAGTTTGAAGAAATTTGAGAAAAATTAAAACTGTACCGCGGTTTCTAGGAAAGTCGAGCGTATGTGACACACGACTAGCTGGTATCGCGACTGCTCTCGCATCGTTGCAAAAGTGTGCCGAGCACTGGCGCGGACACTGATCGACGATGCTTTTAAAAAAAAGAGAAGTGAGGGAAGGCAGAGAGAAACTGCATAACTAATTTATATTTGGGTTTTTCCATTAATCTACTAAGGCGCCGACACTAAACTTATTATATACATCACGCTACCACCAATAGGAGCCGCAGACAAGAACGCTTCAATCTACGAAGTAATTAACAGAATACTAACCGGCATCCTTGGTGGCCTGTCTTTGCGAGTCGTTGAAGTAAGCCGGCACGGTGATGACGGCGTTCTTCACAGACACGTTGAGGTACGCCTCGGCTGTCTCCTTCATCTTCACCAAGACGAAGGCTCCGATTTGTGATGGAGAATATACTTTGCCGTCGCTGCCTGTGATAGAAAAATAATATTAAGAAATCACAGGTTTTGATAAGTTTCTTCTATGGCCAGCCGCCCGTCTGACACTAATAAAATGACGGGCTTGGTCTAGTGCAGGGATTCCCAAACTATTTTGGACAAGAGACCTCTTTTCTAAAATGAACTGATACCTCAGACCCCCATAGCCAAATTCCTACAAGCTTATCGACTTGTTGAGTTTTTTAAAGTACAACCATGATACTTTCTACTACAATATATCTTGAAAGTTTCAAATAAGAACTTGTGTTGATTAGGGGTCTATTTTTAGACCTTGTCGACCCCCAAAATCCAGTATTCGTTTATGACGACCCCTGGGAAACCGATTTTAACCCCAAGTGGTCGATATCAACCACTTTGGGATCCCTGGTCTAGTGGATAGTAATCCTGACAGAGAAAGTTGTCGTGGGTTTTATTAATATATATATAAATATTTGTACAAGCACGATAATTTGTTCTGTGTCTGGGTGTAACTTATCTTTAAAAACAGTGCCGATAGAAGGGAAAACAGGTTTTCTTTTTATTATAAGAGGAAAAAAAATTGTTTTTCTATACGAAAAGTTCCGACATGAATATATATCTAAGTTACACGTATATACACAATATATGTTTATATCTATACTAATATTATAAAGCTGAAGAGTTTGTTTGTTTGTTTGAACGCGCTAATCTCAGGAACTACAGGTCCGATTTGAAAACTTCTTTCAGTGTTAGATAGCCCATTTATCGAGGAAGGCTATAGGCTATATATCATCACGCTAAGACCAATAGGAGCGGAGCACCAATGAAGAATGTTTCAAAAACGGAGAAAATTTATTACTATTGACAGACGCAGACGAAGTTGCGCGGGTCAGCTAGTTATATATAGTTATATTCTCAATGTATTTCAACCCAAACTCAACTCTCGTGTAAACGGGGCCACTATATGTACTTATATAATACAGCGGGGTCGGTAACGCGAGTTTAATGGCTTTTGTTGCTCAAAAATGCTCAACGCGCCTAAAGTTTTCACTTCAATAATGTATTTGGAAATATTTAATTAGGTATGTTTATCAGCAGTCTGGCTCTGTATAGTTTGAGATAGAACTTTATTGTGTGAGATGTTTAGTTATTCACATCATCACATCTCATCAACAGCCTATAATAGTCCACTGCTGGACATAGGCCTCTCCTTAGAAAGGAGGTTTTGGCCTACTATACCACGTTGGCCAGACGGGTTGGTATAGGGTTTGTTTTAAGTTTTCCTTCTCTTTGCAGTGCTGTTGTCCTGCGTCGTTTGCTCCCTTAGTCGCCTCTTCCGACACCCACGGGATGTAGAGGGGTGGTGACATTCCGTATTCTTAATCCGTTAGTTATTATTTTATTAAAAAAATTGAAGACTACGCGCCCGCATTAGGAATAAATATCTTGAGTAGACGGAGAATTTATAAATATTCACAAAACGGACACAGAGAACACCCAGGCTCAGTACAACAATTTGTGGATCACACATTGTTGTCCCATGTGGGGATCGAACCCACAACACTCAGCGCAGTAGGAAGCGGGAGACGTATATATTATGAGTCCTGTGACCTGTGATCGGAGGCTCTTCTAGGAGACAGACACCAACAGACCATTAAACAACAATTTTTGAATTTAAATATAGTATTATTAAAACTGTACCGCGGTTTCTAGGAAAGTCGAGCGTATGTGACACACGACTAGCTGGTACCGCGACTGCTCTCGCATCGTTGCAAAAGTGTGCAGAGCACTGGCGCGGACACTGATCGACGATGCTTATTACCTCCTACTAGCCTTTGCCTAGAGTATTTTTTTTTCTACTCCACGAGATCCTTCCTTCTTTATAGAAAAGTCTACCCTATGTCCATTTCTGTACTCCTAACAAGGTCTATACATAACTTCGTGGTGATAAGTAGTTAAAGCACAAAAGCGTTATTAACAAATTAATATACGTAATTATTTAATTTCAATTTTGACCTAAACTTTTATACCTTATTTCTATGTGCCTGACGTTTATAAAGGGTCCGCCATCTAAAGTTTTTTTTTCAACTAGTGCTTATTTCGTGAATGGTAACACTTAGCTCATGTCTGATTTGACAGATAATTAGTTTTATCCTTCCGCTGAACGAATATGGTTGTGTATACGCTTGAACAACGCTGGGAAATATTGCGACATTACTTTGAAAATCATGGTAATGTTGCAGAATGTGTGCGAAAATTGCGTACGGATTTTGGAAGAAGAGAAGTACCATCAGCTCCGTATGTTCGTTATCTTGTGAAAAAAGTGAAAGAAACTGGCATCCTCATCGATAAACCAAAGCGTGAAAAGCCAAAAATAGTGCGTACACCCGAGAATATTGATGCTGTGGCAGAAAGTATGCGTGAAGCGCCATCAACATCAATTCACCGTCGTTCTCAACAATTGAACATTTCGGAGACATCATTGAGACGAATTTTGCATAAAGAGCTTGGTATGACGCCATACAAAGTCCAATTGGTTCAGGAGTTGAAGCCAACTGACCATCCAATGCGTTTTCGCTTCGCTGAGTGGGCCTGCGATCGACTTACAGAAGATGCCGATTTTGCCAAAAAAAATCATCTTTTCGGATGAAGCTCATTTTGATCTTGGGTCTGTAAACAAGCAAAATTGTCGCACATAAAACCCGCACGCATACATTGAAAAGCCGGTACATCCAAAACGAGTCACGGTTTGGTGCGGATTTTGGTCCAGAGGCATAATTGGGCCATTTTTCTTCGAAAATGAGCAAGGAGTGGCCGTTACAGTCAATGGCGATCGTTATCGGGCCATGTTAAACGAATTTTTGTTCACAAAAATTGAAGAGGAGGATATTGGCAACATTTGGTTTCAACAGGACGGCGCTACGTGCCACACAGCCGAAGCTACACTCGATGTATTGCGCCCTGTTTTTTGAAGATCGCATTATCAGCCGCAGAGCTGATGTCGTTTGGTCACCTCGGAGCTGTGATTTGACACCGCTGGACTATTATTTGTGGGGTGCCCTCAAAGATAAGTGTTACGCCGACAAGCCAGAGACAATTGACGCTTTAAAGGACAATATTCGTGAAGCCATTGGTGAAATACAGCTGCACACAATCGATAATGTGCTTAAAAATTGGACCGATCGTGTAGGCTACTGCATGGCCAGCCGACTCAGCCATTTGAATGAAATTATTTTCCATTATTAACCGGAAGGATTGTACTTTCAAATAAAAAAATTAATTTGAGAAAATATTCAGTTGTTTTCTTTTAATGGCATTTTCAAAAAAAAAGTTATTTGGCGGACCCTTTATTATTCAGTAAACAGTTATTAATTTTACGACGTGTAATGTGTATGATGCACCGCTCTATTAGTTTTAAACATTATTACATCATGTATCTAATCAGTTATAACTGTCCGCTTAATTTGTATCCACTTAATAAATTTGTACGCAGACTACAGTAAAGCATGTTGTACTGTACTAAATGTTCTCCAACCCACAATTGGTCTTCGCTAACCTCACTCATTCGGTGAAAACCAACTAAAGAATTGCTTAGCACAGCTTAGGTTTTCTGTGAAGCAGTGCTTTCACTCCAGTCAAGCTTGACCCATAAATGACGAAGTATGACTCTCCCGTGGCTGCAGATATGGGATCGAATAAAAACATGGTAAGTCTTCTCAATAACATTATAAGACCTACCTTGAACCCAAGCATCTCCGTTGGACGCTCTGACAACTTTGTAAGAGAGATTCTTCATATCCTTCTGTACTTCAGGGTCATCGAATCGTCTTCCGATCAAACGTTTGGTAGCATAGAAGGTGTTGCTGCTGTTGGTGACGGCCTGGCGCTTAGCTGGCATGCCGACGAGACGCTCGCCTTCCTTGCTGAAAGCAACGTGGGAGGGGGTTGTGCGGGATCCTTCGCTGTTCTCCACCACCTGGGGTAATAAAATTAAGCTTAATTGATGAGCTTTACTTTTTTTTTTGGTTTAGAGCTGTTTTCGCTCGTAGGATAGTAATTATTTAAAAAAATAATGTGCCGCGGTTTCTAGGAAAGTCGAGGGTATACAACCCACGACTAGCTGGTACCGCGTCTGCTCTCGCATCGCTGCAAACGTGTGCCGAGCACTGGCGCGGACACTGATCGACGATGCTACTCCACTAGCAGTCATTAAATAATTGTGGTTTTTTAATAGTTATTAAATAAACTCCACCACTTAATATAAATAATTTGATATTCTTCAACAGCCGCCGGTCATCTCGCAAACAGCAATTAACGAGTACGCGTGCATCAATCAAACATAAATTAGTCAAATAGGTTTGATGTTGGTTATGAATAAGCTTAGTTCAATGTTGGATGAGTGACTATTTGGTTTGTATGGGTAAAACAATGACCTCAGCCTCATCAGTATATTAATACGTAATTCTTTTTGAACCCTAATTTGATTAGTTTATTAAAGAAGAAATACAGAAAGCAGATCTTTTAAAAAGAAAAAATACTTTAAATACATTTCCGTGTCGATCCATGTGGGGACGGATTAATAACACGGAGTGTGACCACCCCTTTTCATCATGTGGGTGTCGTAAGAGCCGACTTAGGGAGCAAACTACGGAGGACAACAGCACTGCAAAGCCAAGGAAAACTTGAAACCAACCCTATATCAATCCGTTTGGCCAGCGTGGTATAGTAGACACTAAACCCCCTTTCTGAAGAGAGGCTAAAAGGCCTTTCTAAAGGCTAAAAGAGAGGTACCACGCATCGCTATGGCACATTGTGGTTACATTGATGAGAACACATTTCTCATCAAAAACAAAACAAAAAATATATTTAAAATCAATCTTTGAAGCGGTTTGCATATCGTGCCAAAAGTTGAGCTGAATCGGTGCAGAACTTACTCAAACCAACTGAACATTTATACATATATATCCACTTTGTTTAAAAAGTTAAGCTTTCTGAACGTTCCATAATTTATATATCTATTGTATCATCTCATGCTTATTATAATCTTTCGCTATAACAAATTTCACATTTCTATATTCGGATTTTTTTCTCAAAATGATGCAACTATTTTAAGAATACTGTTTCATTCAATTCTATGTCCAACTTTACAGTGTTAAAACGCATTTTACTGCGTCTGATACTGTTTCTGAACGCTCCTGATAAGATACGGTGCGCATGTACCTCGAGTTTATCAAGACGTGGGAAAATGTGTACTTTGAGATAGTAGCTAGGAGAGCTAGGGTATTGGGATTAAAGTCCACCATTTTAGTTAAAGGGGTTAAAGTTACACGTTAATGAAAGTAAAGAATGAAAAAAATATCTTAGACACTCCAGGGTTGTTGCTGATTTGTCGCGGTTGGAGGAAGAATGGAATTGAATCCGACAGACCCCTTCGTCCCCCTAATGGGCGAAGGACATCCATGAGGATCTCCATGAGGATCCAACCCGTTAACAAAAAAAGGTTGTTGCTGATGCAGGTTTTTAGTGTTGTAGCGGATGGTGATTATATATATGTATATATAACTAGCTGACCCGGTAAATATTTTGCCATATAAATATTTAAAGTAATCAAAATGGCGATCAAAAAAATATTAAGTAAATTTGTTTTTTTTTTTTTAAATCGACCACAAACACAGTGACACGAGATTTGTATATTAAATTTATCTATACAAATATATATATAATAAGGTTCTGTTGGTAATGTCAGAATTATATGTTTTTTTCATGCTCAAACGGTTATTTGCACGATACCTATGTCTAAAAAACCACTTTTTTTTTGTCTGTCTGTCTATTTGTTAAGGGTAGGTATTCTTCAAAACGGCTGGACCATTGGATAATATTTTCCTACCAAGTAGATAGCTGTCTATATAAGGAGTAACTATAAATTATGCCTGGTCCGGGAATCGAACTCACTTCCACTCAAATTCCACGCGAACGAAGTCGCGGGCACCAACTAGTTATATTATAAATGTGAAAATGTGTTTGTTTGTTACGCTTTCACACTTAAACAACTAGACCGATTTTACAAAATCTTTCAAAAATGGAAAGTTATTTTATAAGCCAGTAACATAGGTTACTTTTTACCACGCGGGCGGGGCCGCATGCAAAAGCTAGTATTATAAATAGAAACATGATGACAATGACGCTGATATATGCAACAACACTAGTAGACACACAATAGTTAGAGCAGTAACCCTTGAAATGTGTTATGGACAGCATCTGCATACATGCCCATGGAATAGGAACGATGAGGAGCGTTATCAAAGTAAAAGATTATTGATTTCAGTTATTGTGTTTATATTGTAATGTATATTAGAATGATCTGCTTATCTGTTATGTGTCTTGTTATATTTGTATTTATTTGTAGCCTATGTTACTCCCTGATATGCTTTCCATCAGTGAAATAATTTATAAAATTGGTTTAGTGGTATAGGCGTGAAAGCGTAACAAAAAAAATCACTCACATCTATACAAATAAATAAAATCGAAGTGTCTGTTTGCAATTTAAAATTAATAGGTTTTTTATGCTCACACACACATTTATTTGCACGATACCTATGTCTGCAAAACCAGTTTAAATATTTTAGTCTGTCTGTTTGTTCCGGGTACAAAACAGCTTGACTGATTTTGATAATATCTTGATACCAGGTAGATTTCCATACAAGGAGTAACTTAGGCTATTTTCCTCTCAGAAAAACCCTATACAATTTTGCCCGGTCCAGGAATCGAAGCCGAGGCCTCATGGACTGCAGTCGCGTACCGTACTACACCTCTAAGGCGCGTGTACCAGCTCGTTTATAAGTATGGGAGTATATCTGTACATTGTGTAATAATTATTGTCTGCAACTGATTTTACGCATAGCGTCAATTTGGGCCCAATCGAAAACCAATGTCAGGCTTTCCTATGCCACATCACTGAATTGGGTCCGTTTTTTGCACTGATGGTAATTCAAGCCTCAAAATTGTTTGTTACGTATACTATATTTATGTGTTGCCAAAATAAACATTTTTCTTTCTAGGATTTGATTCAGTAAAAAAAATGTCCCAGCATGTGTCAGGCCACACATAGTGTAGGGTTTCGTATTTTAAATATCCATTAACAAGTAACACGTTCCACTAAGTTTTTTTTTCATTAATGTTAATAATGTGCAACAGAATCACTGGAAAGAAAATTACTTTCCCCACTTGTAAAACACAATAGGAAACAGCTATTTTTAAATTGTAAGAAAATAAGCAAAGAAAAAGTTATACCAATGTCAACTGAAAATAATTAAAAACAATGCCAAAATTAAAAACTTATTTTGTGTTAACATAGTTTATGTAAATTATTTCAAGTTTTAATGCATGAAGCCAGGTTTGTGTTGTTAAAACCAAATAATTCTAAAAATTTTGAATATGTTACGATTTTATAGTAGTTGTAATATATATTATTATTATTCTCTTTGTCCGTGTGGTGATGGATTAAGAATATGGAGTGTCACTACTCATTCATCTCGTGGGTGTCGTAAGAGCCGACTAAGGGAACAAATTCTGCAGGACAACAGCACTGCAAAGAGAAGGAAACCTTGACACAAACCCTATACCAACCCCTCTGGCCAGCGTGGTATAGTAGGCCAAAACCTCCTTTCTAAGGAGAGGCCTATGTCCAGCAGTGCACTATTAAAGGCTGTTGATGATGATGATGATTATTCTCTTTATTAATATGTGTATTAAGTATATATATTTTGAAATACATATTCAAAAACATAAGAAATTAATAACCCAATAACATCAGGTAACCAAGAACCAACAGTGGTCAGGAATATTATTGATTTTTATAATTATTATTTTTATTACAGTTAATAAGTTTAAAATTAAATATTGCTACCAGTGAAGGGCGAAAGGCAAAACATCATACCATTGCCTACTCCTTCAATCAAGGGCTACTGGAAATTTTCAGTGTGTGTCATGTACAAAAGTATATGAATTTTGTATTCAGTCTAGTCCAGCTATTGAACTCCTCATGTGCCCCTACACTGTACAGGACTTCCGGGTGAAGGCACTTTACAGTGTAGCATGTCACACCTTATGAGAGGTTAATAGACCAGACATGGTATATGGACCATGTTGCGCAGAAATTATCTAATTTAAAAAACTGACCACATTTAAAATATTGATGATGATGATAAATACATAAAGAATTTGTTTTTAATATTTTTATAAATTAAAGTGTCATTAGAAAAATAAGAAATGCTTTGTTTCATCACCATTGTGTAGAAGATTTAGTTCTCAATACTAATAAATTTGAACAGTTATTTGTATTAATGCAGAGAACAATATTTTAGACAAAAACAATTTAAAATAGAGTTCAAACTACTAAAGGTTCACCATTAATACATAAAGTCCTCTTACCTTGGGAGTTTTGCCCTCCATGACGGCAACGCAAGAGTTGGTTGTGCCCAAGTCAATCCCGATGACAGCACCACGCACACCATCAGACCTGCCAGATATATGAGTTTTTAGAACAGATAATAATATCATGGATAGTTTACTAGTTGCATAGGTATACAAAGGTTTTCAGTATACAACAAACTAGTACACTGAATACATCTACCTTCATACCTAAAGCATGCCTAAAACAGCATACATCTACCTTTATACATACAGAAACCTGCCATGAAGCTTTGCCAATATGCAGTTTATACACAAGGTCCTAAAGATTTCTCCCCCACCGAGAACTCGAAAGTTTGTCAAACATTGGTAATAGATACTATATTTTTCATGGAATTTATCCGTATACTAGTTCAACCTGATCTAAAGCTTAAATACAAGCAGTGAGTTGTATATTCCGAGTGTTTTTTTTATATAAAATACGTAAATGCGTATAAAATACGCAAATGCGTATAAAATACGCAAATGCGTATAAAATACGTAATGTCTTGAAGTAATTTAATGTGACAAAGTTCTAAGTCAGATTCTTCGAGAAGTTAGGTTATGATGCAATTTATGGTTAAAGAAAAGGTTATGTGCACTTACTTGTTTCTGAGCTGTACATGTCGCTGGTAAATGGGCACTGTGGGGGCTGCAGTCTGCAAAGAATAGAAGAGTTAAAAGCGGCAGAATGTTTTTAATCGCTAGTTCCATGTGTCTTAAGGTTACAGACAACGATGGAACCGGTATGAATTCACGTAGAAAGCTAATAAGAACCTAAAATAATTAGAAGTAATGTAAAATATAATAGGCATTTGACATTTTCAGAGAATATGACATATGATTTTCATTCGTTTTTAGAAATAAAATGGTCACTCACGTTTTTAAGAATTGTTGAGAAATTCCTCTGTGTATAAATATCTGAAGTGAGGCCGGAGCACTCCAGAGCCTTTCGGCTGATCACCCGCGTAGCGGTCAACATTTTGGAAACGGTATTAACAACTATTTAATTTATTTTCTGACTTCAGAGCACTTCAAACAGAACATGTGGGTGACGCAACTTCATGAAAGAACAATTTTTTACTTTTTTTCCTACACAGCTCGGTTTAACTTGCCACACTAAAAATATATTTTATGATCATAGAATGTTCTCGTCACAAGTCAATCAACAGAAGGTTCTCATTGGCAAAGATTCTCTGTTCTGTTGATATCATTGGTCAAGTCAATGACGTTATAAAAAACTGAACCAATAGACATCTAGAGTTGTTGTTAATTTCCTTTATTTCAAAAGAAAGAACGTACCTATTACATAATAATGATGAAACTATGTGCAAGGACCTCAAAAGGTACAGGGTATTTTTTCTATGGTGAAAAAATCTTTTAGTTTTCGGTAAAGAAAGATATCGGAATAGTGTATTATTACTACATACATTTTTAAGGTTTCTGGTTCGACACATTTTTATTTTCTGTTGGCATTAGAAATAAGAATGAATAATTAAACGCTTCACATTCCATTTTAATCCTTTTTTTTATCTTTTTGGAGAACTATAAGTAAAATTATACTCATTTACTAAAGACATGTTTTACAGGTACAGTATTCTACGGCGTTATAGGTATGTGGAACCGTAATCAATCAACAGCTAACAATGCCTGACTTGTGTACTTAAAAGAACACAAACCCATGAGCGAAGATACTTCGCTCATGGGTTTGTGTTCTTTTAAGTAACGAACCAAACTTCTTATCTTAAAGTAGGTAGCCTAAATTATTCCTTTCATTTATAATCAGCTATCTGATAGTAAAAATTCTTTGAAAATAGGTTCAACCTTTCGGAAATCAGCCGGCACACATCGATAACAATTAATGGAAGCTGTTTTTTAGTATCAAACAAACCCAAACAATAGTATTTCTTTGTATAAAAATAGAAGTCTATTTTTCTTACAGAGAGCTACCGCTTTAAGATTATATTCATTGCCCTTTTTTATGATAAATTTATCATTACAATAAAACAACGTTAATACTCTGCATTGGAGTAGGTTTGATAACAGTAATTATTACTATAATTGTATCTCTATCAGTTTTATGTATTTTTATGTCAAACCTACATAATACTATAAAGCTAATAACTTTAAATACCCAAATGATTCTCTTAAAGTCGGTGCCTCTAATCACAGTCTCAGACAATATTATTTAGTATGAATGTGGAAATCAAACTAAAAGGGTAAAATTCAAAAATAATAATTTATTAGTTTAAAGATTATTTTTTCATATCATCAATGAAATACAATTGTAAATTTATAATACACAATACACTTAATACACAATAAATCACTTACTAATAACAAATAATATACAGAGAAGCGATATTACTATTCCAAAAAAAATGATAAAAACTGGCAACACCTTACGAATTTTCAAGGATTGATCGCTAGGACTCTCCTACAATAGCATAGTATACAAGTACTTCAAAAGAAAAAAATCTATTACACGTTTACCAAAGGGTGCCATAAGTAAAATAATATTTTACTTATTATTATACTTTAACAGATATAATAACTTAGTTAAGTTGCAAGTTAAAAGAAGAATTTATTTATTCTAAATTTTTTGGTCTAACGACTACATCTGGTAGATTTAATTGTCACCTAACGAAGCAGATCTGACTTACTTTAAATCTAGTGCATGGACATTTACCTAGGGTTGGGGCAAAATTAAGGTAACTAGACAAATTATTGGAATTTACTGGGATCCGGGGACTGCTGCTATTAGGTCATCCGGACATCAAAAATTACCTGCGAGAATTTCGGCAAAACCTGTTTAAAATTTGGTTTACAATTTTATGTTGTGCTTCCAGAACCCCCTTTCCTGTATATAGTCATCAGTCATCATCGGTTTTCTGTTATTGTCGATCGTAGCCTAGTTTTTATTCTGCGTAAAGTACTAAAGGACTTTAAGATTCTGGTTCTAACTGGATTATTCTTTTTATGTTTTAACAATTTGACCTGACAAACCTTATCAGTGGTCCCTTTGAGAGTGTTATATGCGATCAAATGAGACCCGGAGGATTGATGAAAAATTGTGTCTTACTTGGTAGTTAACCTGTTGGAACGGAGATGATCATTTTCACAAGTCTTGTCTAGGAAATCTCAGACTTGCCTAACTATTCGAAACCCCACTGGCTCTTACCAAAGAGGTCAAATATCTAGGAGCAACACTAGATAGTAAACGTCCTGTGAAATATACATCTGGAGGAGAAACTAAACAAAGCCTTCATCGTCTTCTGCCAATGCAAATGGCTATTCGGCCAAAGGTGGACTATCACCAAAGATTACACTATGGCTCTTCAGAACAGTCATACGACCAATAATCACGTACGGTGCTATTGCCTTAACAAAGTGTAATAATTCCAGCTACTCCCATGCTCCGCAGTCACTGGGTGTATGAGCACAATGCCAGCAGCCGCACTTAAGGTGGCTCTTGGTCCGGGCTTCACAAAGGGATATCACATCCAGATACATGTAAATGATCGAGATCAATCTGGCAGAAACGAAGTCCGAATTTACACGGATGGTTCCAAGACTGGAATAACTTGCGATAACTTGCGCCGCCACAACAGTCATGTCAAAGGGTATTAAAGACTAGACCATTTGAATACTGTCAAACAGCATGGCCCTCCGAAGAGCACAGGACGGCAATAAACTCTGGTATTGCTTTTCGAATGCCATCAAACATTAGATCAGCTTGCCTCAACAAATAAGGTACTACTTCAATGGATTAAATGACGCCGCAAATGAGCTGCTAAGGAGGGCTTGGCAACTGCAGCAGCCAGTCCAATCTGCCACTGCCTTTTAACCAACTTCGCTCCTGGTTAAACAACATACTCGTGAGTCTCACCACGACTTACTTGCACATTGAGAAGTCTTGGCAGATTAGACATCCGAATAGTTGTAAGAGCTATGATGGGATACCTAGTCCTGAACCGATAACTATTCACCATTAATACGCCTAAGTCTTCTTTGCAGAGGATGTCTAAAAGCAGAAGAAACAGCCGCCTCCTGCGGCGAATCCTGGAATGCGAGGTAGTTTCTACTCAACGGACTAGTATCATACCTGATACAGAATCGCTCATAGACGTCTATGAACGCCTCACGAGATTTCTGCGCTTCTGGAAGGTGCTTGTTAGGCTCACCTAAATAGGACCAGACCATTCTTGAGTCCAAATATGGAAGCTGGGGCCAACAACCACTATCGATACGGATACCCCCTCGAGCAGTTGCTCTTTCCGGGTTTGTGTTGAGGCGGAATGTCTAAATCGAACTGACAAACCACACGTTGTGCCTTTGTGGAACAGTTATTATTAAAACCTCCGGACCACTGCCAGTACTTACTACCTAATTCAGCGTGGATAGTAAAAAAATTAACGAATGGCGGGGGGCAATTGAATATTGCCTCACCAAATATTTCATTTTGCTCAATTTCATCTCTATCTTCTTCCATACATAACACCAAAACTGTTGTCTTCATTATAATTATAATATTCTGCAAAAACTAAAATAATAATAAAAACTAAATATCGGTGTTGCATTGAAACCTGTACTTCATTAAATGTTTCCAATTATTCGTCACATAAAAAACCGGGTGTAAGTTAGGGTGGAGGGTACGGCAAGTGCCCCACCTAGCCCCATTGTGGGTACGCCCATGTGCTCCTGTCTCGTGCTATACATTTTTTAGTGCTGATATATTATAGATATACTATATTAGATAAATGCACAGAAATCGTAATCATAAGACACTATAAATAAATTAGCGTTCGATTACTTCCACTAAACAAATTGTTCCATTACGTAACAATCAGATTTAAATAAATGTAGAAATAAGTTATTAAGAAGTAAGTAATAAACAAAGCAGTTTCCTTTTTTTATATTTACATAGTCGTCAACTGTGTAATACCCTTGTTCCTACCGCTACGTTTGAAAATATAGTTAACCATATAAGTAAGTATCTCTAGTAGTTGATGTTATTAGCAACTCTACAAAATGAGTTTATTTACCCGTAAAATGAAGAAATTTATTTAAAAAGTATTCTTTAGCACCAGGATCTTTCGGGAATCTAAAAAATAATTACAATTATGTGATAATAAATAGTAATATAATTATTTATGACCTAAAGAAAACATTTTATTTACATTTATCATCATGCTAAACATTTATAGACTTTAATACGCAAACTTAAATAAATAATTAAATTCCTAAAGAAATTATTTTATGATTTATATTAAGAATATTTCACCGCCATATATCGTTTATTTTTTTACGTTCGAAAATCTGAAAAATATTCTTTTATACTTACATCGATATAAACTGTACTTTCATTCAAATGAATGGAACGGTTACATAGCTAACTGGCGACCGATTCCTGCGGCCGTATTATAAACATACGCAACGAACACCGTATCTAATACTTCACATTGCACATTGCTTGGCTAGTTTGTCAACATTGCGTGCAATAAGAACCAAAGCAGCAATGGTGATTGTACAAACGGAAAGTAATAAATGAATGTTTACAAAGGCTTTTTAAAAGATTCATCGAGATGTAAATTAGTAAAAATAATGATTTATTAGTAAAAAATAAACTTACCTAAATGTTATGCCTTTATTAGTTGAATTACACGTCCCTGATTCGTTTGGTGCAGTTCGTCATTTTAACAATATAAATTCACATACGACGCTCCGCGCAACTAAATCACGAATGGTTTGATTTTCTGTAAGTGGTGTTCGTCTACACATCATTGCGGCGACAAGGTCAAGCGTCTATGCGACTTCTGGTGTCTTATTATTACGATTTCTATGAATAAATGCAATCACATTTTTATACAATTAAAATATCATCATAACTTTCGTATATAAATGTAACTGAATCACGGACGGAGTCGATCCACAGTCGTATTTAACGTAGGTAAACCCTGGAGTCTGTGATTGTACATGTAATCATACTTCTATCCTATTGTATTTTTATTCCTTACCTATTTGAGATCACGCATTGGACGGACTTTTATTAAATAGTAGGTAACTATACAAACAAACAAAATATCATACACACAAGATATCTTATACAAACTTAAATAGTACACCACAAAGGAAATCTGTCGTTCAGGTGGAGACCGACGAATTGAGAACCTACTTTCGCCGTCGTAAGTCGGTAAAAAATTACGACTACATCACGAAAACATAAGCCCCATTCTCTAATGTAAATTTAATCTGGTGTGGTCGACGATGGATCTGGAGTCTCATCTCTGGAGGCCAGCAATGATCGAAGAGTTAAAGCCTCTTGTTGGAGCGCTGAGACATGAGCCCGAAGAGATGCGTTCTCCTGCTCCAGGATACAGGCCCGCCAGGCAATCTGGAACAATATGAGGCTGAAATTATACGTATACGTACATATAATATAGGAATATGTTACTACTCGATCGAGATGGGATATGGAATGTTCCTAAATATTCAAATCTGAATTATGTTCGGACCGCCTTTTTCTTCTTCTTCTTTTTAAATAAAGTCAATTGACGCACCAGGAATATATCCAGTGTCGCGAGGTACTTTACAGTCATTCATAAAACGGATACAAAAAAGACTCAGAACAACAACTTGTGGCTCACCACTGTATTTAGATAACTAGTTAATGTCTTCTTTCAAATGGCGTATGAGTTACAGGACCAACATACAGGTACGTGTTATCCGACCGTTTTTATGGTCCAGAAAGGCTAACGAGCAAATGAGCCACCGAGATGGTAAGTGACCACCGTCGCCTAAAGACACTTGCAACTCAAGTAACACAAGGCGGGTTTGGGCTCTGATAACCTCACTAGCTCAGTGCAAAAACAGCCTAAGCATGGCTCTCCACGATGAAAAAATCGGTTATTTTAATATTACAAACAGACACTCCAATTTTATTTAAAATAAAGGTAAAAATAAAGGTGTAATGAGAACTGTAGGGACACAAAGTATCTCACCTCCGTACTTTCCTTTCATATGTAATAATAAGTGTACAGTTCAGGTAGCGTAAGCAAAAATATATTTGTCTAGAGGCGGAGAATAAACCCAGTTTACGTGAACACGTGTATATCTTTCATTTAAATGTCCCAAGAGTATTTGGGAACACAATAACATAGAAAACCCTAAATGGACAATTATTTGTTTTTGTTTCTGGGTGCACCTATACAATATATTCCTCCTAGCCTTTTTTTCCTTCACCTTCCCTAGGTTGGGGTCGACATTAAGCCTACTACTACTACTACTACGAATTTTAATATATACTATCTTATTATTACTATTTTAGTGCTCCACACCTGATCTTCCCTGATCCTCCTCGCATCCCTGGACTTCTTGGCTGCTTGGTTGTTCCTACGGCGTCGTTCGAAGTATTTTTCATCTTTCAATTCTGCAGGAATGGGGCGCTTTTCACCTCGTCTCCTGATTTCCACCTCGCTTACTGGTGATGGTAGAACTGGAAGGTAATAGAAAAGGCTGTACAATGTTGACTTGAAGAAACAAATATACCTAATAATAATATTTTCACACATCTCACACACGGCCGGTGATCCCAAACTAGGCAGAGCCTGTGCTATGGTAACCAGACTGCTGATAAACATACTTATATGTATATTTCTAAATACATACATATTATAGATAAAGGACCCAGACACAGAACAAATGACCGTGCTCATCACACGATTATTTGTCCTGGGTGGGTATCGAACCCACGACCACCTCCGTATCAGTGAGGGTTACTAACCACTAGACCAACAGGTCAGGCCAAAGCAAAGCTATCTTACTTATGAACTTATCGAAGATTCCTACTGGCAATGAAAAACCGTGCGTAATGAGTTTTAAGCAAAAACTTGAGGATAGAGATCGAAAGAGAGGAGACAAAAACATAGATAACAGTTTGAAATTTTCAGGGGCCATAATTCATTAAAGTTTCATTTAATCATTAAGGAGTATTACTCTGTACTTACGAGTTGTCCTTGGTGGTATGTGATGGCAGTATGGTGGTAAACAGTGCGGCTGAGGAGGTAGCGCTGCGAGGAGTGGACCCACTACATTGTGTACATCTGTAGGCAAAAGCGGAAATAGTATTTTTAAGCAATTTTGTTTTTATTGGTTAGGATTTGTTTTTTTTTTACATATTGTAGGCGTTTTATAAAAATACAATCAGTTTAATATTGGAGAGTTAATAAAAATCTTGTTACCTTTAGTTTAGACATTTCGTAACAATAAAAAAAATGGCACTCCGGGAGTGCCGCCAGAAGTGAAAACTTGTTTTTTTTTATTATAACAGGAAAAATGTTTGTTTTTTTCGATAATTTAATATATTTCTATGTTGTACGTATATACACAATATATGTTTATATTATATATAGTTATCAATGTATTTCAACCCAAACTTATCTCTCCTGTAAACGGGGCCAATACATGTAGATACTTACATACAGAGGTGTCGGTAACGGTACCAGCGTCGAGAGTTCAATGGTTTTTTCCCATCTCAAAAAATACATTCGTTTGTTTGTTGTTCAAAAATGCCCAACGCGCCTAAAGAAGTTTTCACTTAAATAAAAAAAAACAATCGGATTAAAAACCTATAAATATATTACATTTACGCTCTAGCGTAATTTTGGCCAAATTGCATAAGATGGTTGGCAGGAGTTAGATGCGAGAAGCCGAAAATCGAACCGCGCAATTTGAGAGGCCTATGTTCAGCAGTGGACTGCGATAGGCAGCTGATGATGATGAAGAATGAATCGCAATTAGTTTGTGTTCCATGATTATATAACATCACTTGTTTGAACAACCGATAATCTAAACGAATCAGGATACTACTTATTATCATGGATTTAATTGATTAAATTAACAATAACGGGTGTAAACCTGCAGGCAATAACTAGTCATCCATAATATTTAGAAATATACATATAAGAACTAGCTGACCCGGCAAACGTTGTATTGCAAAACAAAAAAAAAATAGGAATGGGTCACCCTTACCATTTAGGGGTATGAAAAATAGATGTTGGCCGATTCTCAGACCTACCCGATGTGCACACAAAATTTCATGAGAATCGGTCAAGCCGTTACGGAGGAGTAAGGGAACGAACATTGTGACACGAGAATTTTATATATATGTATGATGTTTATCAGCAGTCTGGTTTCCATAGTACAGGCTCTGTCTAGATAGGGATCAGGCAGCCGTGTGTGAGATGTGTGAGGTTATTATATTATTACTTCACTAGTAATATTAACAAGTGTTTTACTAAAAAAAACTATATTGTGAACTTGTTTTGTTTTTTTTTTTATGTTACAAGGGGCAAACGGGCAGACGGGTCACTAACGGGCCTAGTGTAAGTTTATTTCACTTCTCCTCGATCGTCACGGTGACCGCGTCCCGCGTTGTGATTGGGCCGAACTAAACTCTTTACCAATCACAACACCGAACGCGCCGAACACTAGGCAGCCCCGGATCTACGATTTTTTCGAACCGGGGCAGAAACTTGATAGTGGCGCCCCTCTCTCCAGCGTTTGAGATAAATTACTCATACAAAGTTCACTTGTAGTGTGGGCCTGAGTAGCGCCTTTATATTAAAAGTCGACGGTGAGCCAATCAGACTTCCGTATGCTAGGCGGTTTGTGGAGCAAGTTTTTTCTTTTTCCATACTATATTATGATTTTCGCGCCCCCTGAAGCTGCCGCAAAGGGTGGGTGCCTTGGTTTGCGCCCATTTGACACTAGGCCGTCTGATGGTAGTGAAGTGACTACCGCGTTCATGGACACCTGCAAAATACAAGTGCATTGCAGACCTTTGCGTGCCCTTATCCACAGGTTTAAAGCGTCCCCGCTTTGGCTTCAGCTGGAGGTTTGGGCTGCCAGAAACCTCACTCACTTACGGCACAAAAGGGCCAGCTTGTTCGGAATGAAAGCAAAGAAAATTGGTTTTCAGCAGTTTTCTTTCGTTGCATACTTTCTTTTTCTTTTTTGGACAACCCTAGCATTAGGAATGTATCCTGTGTCGCGGGGACACAGGAAACATGAAACGAATATGAAACATACATTAAACGAACACAAAAAACACCCAGACTCAGAACAACAATTTGTGGATAACACAAAGTGTCGTCCCATGTGGTGATCGAAGCTACACTTAGCGTAGCAGGAAGCGGCGTGGCGACCGCTTAAATCCTACGCCATCCGTGAAGTCATTTCACCCAGTAAGTGAGGCTGTCGGGTGGCACTCGAAAGCCAGTCAAGTACAGGTGACTCCTGACTTGCAGGTGTCCACAGGCGAAGAAGTCACTTACTATCATTTGACCCGTCTGTTCGTTTACCCCAATCATAAAAAAACAACGTATAATGTTAAAACCCACAAAATTATTAGTGCACACATTATCGCATCGCCCCCTAGTCTTAAATAATTAATTATTAATAATAACACGTCGTTTCCTGCTGTTCGTTGATCGCTGGCACGCGTTCCTAAACGATTGGTCATAAGCTGAGGGTTGAGTTTGTTTTTTTAATCATCGCTTGTAATATTATAACCTTTTTTTACCCGACTGCCAAGGAAGGTTTTTCGCGTGTATTTTGTACATTTGTTTGTAAATTTGTTTAGTACCTCGTATCTTCCAAATGACGAATGGATTTCTATAGTTTAGTATTGTTTTATCCGTCTCAAAAACCCAAGTGTCCTTTAAAGGAAAAATCAATCATGATGGATCAAATGACGGATCAAAATGACGGATTTTTAGCATAAACTAGTATAAGGTTAATAAAAAAATAACCAAACTAACAAACAAACAAGATCAAAATCAAGAAAATTAGAGGAGATTACAAATATAGGTATAAGTAATTTCTTTACTTTGAAAAGTAATAATAAATTGGTTTAAAAAGGTTTTGGTAGCGCGTCTTTTTAGTGCATTACTTTTAAATTGTCTGTTTGCAGTCGGTTTTTTAATTATTTTTTAGGTTTTTAATTTTTAAGGTTTTTTTTTAATAAGAGGTGAGGGTGATATTGGCGTGGTTTGGAAAAATCTTTAGCCCATTTTTGATAAAAGACAACTTTTCAGTGAGCCTACATCATGTTTTTTTTTTTTAACTATACATATTCTAGCAAATAAAAAAAGAATTTTCAATTCAGTTCATACAAAACAGAGTTCTGACGTACCATACATGAAAGTAAATACAACAGAATCAAGATTCTCCACTTTTTTAAAGGTTGAAACCTACGGAGCCAAAAGGAGGGTAGGTAAAAAATGCAAAAATGTATTAACATTTAAAGTTTCCTTGAATCTCCTGGAATTTGCTCCTTAATTTGTAATTGGATTGTTTGAACGTGCTAATCTCTGAAACTGTTAGCCCACCCCTCATTCTGAAAGAAGAGGCAACTTAAAAGGCGGCAAGGCACTTGTGTCTCTTGGGTTGTATGTCTCTATGGGCGACTTTAATCACATACCATGAGGCAGCGCGTCTGCTTGTTTGCCCTCCTTATTAAAATTATTTATCTGCAAAGATCTGGCATATTATTTCTGGTTGTTCTCAACCAGTAGCCAGGATCGTACACCAGCAGCTTGCCTTTAAATACCAACTTGTAAATCTAGAGGTGCAGGTACAGGGTTTCTTTTTTTTCCCGTATCGCCGTTCCTCTTGACGAGAACCTCGTGAAAGTTGAAAAAGAAAAACAAATAAAATATTTGGATTTATCCCACGAGATTGTCGATATGTGGAATGTTGATTCAGTGATAATTGTTCCGATAGTCGTATTTGCTCACGGATTGATAGCAAAGAGCCTCGACCAACACCTTAAGAGGCTCGCGTTGGAAGGCTGGATCAAGGGTCTGATTCAGAAGGCAGTCCTCCTTGACACGGCCCGTATAGTAAGGAGGTTCCTATCTTTGGAGTCCTAACCACCGGTGTCTTGGTCCCTGTATCCAATGTCGGTGGTCTACTATTTTAATATTTTTGAATGTATTTTTTTTCGTTTGTAATATTTTAAAAATGTAATCAATATGTATATAATATATCAATCTCTTGGTTCAAATTTATGTTTGGGATATAATTATAGCAACGTTACGAAAACAAAATCACACGCACCGTTGGACGTTAATGATCCTTCCTCAGGTTCCCCTACGGAAACCTTGTTACGACTTTGACATAATGCGATACAGAGAATAATAAATTTACACATCTTACAAACGAGAGTCTGATCCCAAATTAGGCAGAGCTTGTAACCAGAATACTGATATACATAAATATTTCTAAACATGTACATATTACAGATAAATTACACCAGACATCGAACAAGTGATCATGCTCATCACAAAATTATTTGTCCTAGGTGGGAATCGAACCGACTACCTCCGGGTTAGCAGTCACGGTCACAAACCACTATACTACAGGCCCGTCAAAACCACTCAAGAAAGTTTATATTCAAATTACAATTTTTAGTCAATTCTACAAATCAAATGGTGTTTTTTTAAAGCGTGTTCTCCGTCCCCAAGTCGTAATATCATCGCATCATCATGACGGTATTGTACAGGGGCGTGTACAAACATACAAATTAGCGGGTCAACGCCACGTCACCTGACGTTGTGCACCTGCGGCCGTGGGACCAGCCACCTGGCGACACCCCTCGAATTAAGGGTTCGCAATATGTTGATGATCAAGTGTGTTTAAACCTACACCACCGTTCTCATTTTTGTTAGCTTTTTTTTTAAATCTAAGTAGCCTATACATATTTATCTATACATAATAAATTACTTGTCCTGACTGATTCATCGACACAGAGCCTAAACCGTTGGGACCACAAACTTGAAACTTTGGCAGTTGATGTTTTTTTATGTTATAAGTACCCAACAAGGTAGGATTTTTCTGAAACTTCACTCCTATGAAGGCAAAATAAGAGATGAGCGGTTATATGGAAGTTCGCCATTTTCAAAGTTTAAAAAACGAAATAAGAAATCACGTGAGCGAACCCGCTGATAATATCTATCTTTGACTGGTCTGGTATTCCTTCCATTTGCTCCCTTAGTCGGCTCTTACGACACCCACGGGCTGAACAGGGGTGGTGACACTT